TACTCGCCTGCCATGCGTGAGAGGCTTAACCGAGGGGCAGCCTCCTCTCAAGCTTAGCACTCTCGACCTAAAAGCCTTTAAGACAGCTCTAGAAGGAAAGCTAGAAGCACAATAGCTATACGAGATTCTAGAACAGCCAGACATGGAATCGCTAGAGGCCCTAGCATGATTTATTATTGAATGCGTACATAGTGCGTATGTCAGTAGTGCTAAGCGAGGCCTTGGGCATGGGATCGGACATCCATGGTGGAATGAGGGGTGTCAGTCAGCGGCCACCGAGGCTAGAAAAGCTCGAAGGCTCGGAGCTAGCCCAGAGGCTGCGAAAGATCTTCAGAGGGCTCTGAGACATGAGATCCGGAAGGCGAAGGGAGAGCATTTCCGCAACCTAATTGACAAAGCTACAAAGACCAAGGATGTTTTTAAAATATGCAAGTGGCACCAGAGCACTGGGGTCTACAAGTCCCCCCCGTTGAAGGGCTCAGCTGGCTTCACTACTCAGGAGAAACAGAAGATCCTTATACAAGAGCTACTCACAAACAAGGCTGAAGTAGGGGACATACCGATCAACACCCCCACCACCCCTACACGCGCTCTACCTTGGGCAGCTCTTACCCTCCGTGAGGTTGAAGAATCGGTCTTAGGAAAGGCTTCTACTGCACCAGGAGAAGATGAGCTAGTAACAGGGGTCTTTAAAGCTGCCTGGCATCAGATTTCACACCTAGTATACTCTCTCTTCAAGGGGTGCATATAGACAGGGTTTCATCCTAAGATCTTCCGCACTGCTATTGTCGCCATTATCCCAAAGCCGAATAAGAAGGATAAGTCGTCTCCTCGAGCATACCGACCAATCTCCCTACTCTCAGTCCTAGGAAAGGGGCTTGAAAGGCTTCTCGCAAAAAGAGTGTCCNTCAAGGGGTGCATAGAGACAGGGTTTCATCCTAAGATCTTCCGCACTGCTATTGTCGCCATTATCCCAAAGCCGAATAAGAAGGATAAGTCGTCTCCTCGAGCATACCGACCAATCTCCCTACTCTCAGTCCTAGGAAAGGGGTTTGAAAGGCTTCTCGCAAAAAGAGTCTCCTGGATAGCTATTAAGCACTCTGTTCTAGGGCCAAACCAGTTCGGGGCCCTCCCTCTGAGAGCTGCCACAGACCTCACTACCTGCCTTACCTTCGACATAGAGAAGGCACTCGCAGACAAACAAGAGGCCTCCCTTCTTACACTTGATATCAAGGGTGCCTTTGACGCAGTACTCCCCGGCCGCCTAATCAAGAGACTACGAGAGCAAGGATGTCCATATAGCTTGGTAGCATGGGTTACCTCTTTCTTGTCTAACAGATCTGTTAAAGTAAAGCTCGACGGAGAAATAGGAGTCTCTACTCCTCTTCAATGTGGTCTGCCCCAGGGCTCACCTATCTCGCCTATCCTCTTCATGCTCTACATCCAGCCACTCTTCACCTCAGGGGTAGGCTCCTTCCCAGTGTTACAAAGGTTCGGCTATGCGGACGACATTGGATTACTTGCTTCAGGGCCCACGAAGGCAGGGAATATCAAGGCACTCGCAGAACAGGTAGCTAAGGCTTTGGAGTGGGGAACAGAGGAGGGCATTACCTTCGACGCTGAGAAGTCTGAACTTATCCAATTTTCTCGTAAGAGAAAGCAAAAAGGGAGGGGTATACGTTTGCCTCCCTCCATTGTAGTAGGAAACAGGACAATAGAACCAACACAAGAGCTCCGGTGGCTTGGCATTTTCTTTGATCCCCGCCTTTCCTTCCATAGCCATGTTAAGAGAATGGCTAGTAAGGCTACGCTAGCAGCGACTGCTCTAAAAGGGACCACAAACACAACAAAGGGCTCTCCCTCCTACCTGCTGAAACAGGCCACCACAGCTTGCATTCTATCAGTCGCTTACTTTGGAAGCGAGACCTGGTTCCCTGGACGAGCCAGGGCTAAGGGAGGAGGGACTACAAACAACCGAATTGGCCGTCACCTAACTCTGCTAGATAGAGTGGTAGCCAAGTGTGCTAGGATCATCCTCCCAGTATACAAGACCACTCCCACCTCAGTACTCCTTATGGAATCGGGCCTCCTAGCCTCTGAAATTGCTCTTATAACAAGAAGCGAAGCACTAGAAGCTAGGATCAGACGACTAGACCCTGCCCACCCGCTGAAACGATGTGTTAATAACCCTAGCTCGAAAGCTAGGCTCATTTACCGCTCTCACAGAGCCCTCCCTCCCTCTGAAGAGATTGACCCCATTCAAGACCCTCCGTGGAATAGAGGGTTCAACCGACAAGCCCGCCTACTGGAGGTAGCGGGACCTGACCCTGGTGGAGACAAGAGCTCTTTTAAGGCCAAATTCCTTGACTTCCTAGCTACTGTCCCACCTACCGACCTAGTTGTGTTTACCGACGGCTCCCGCCTGGACGACAAAAGTACTGGTGGTGGCGTATGTCTTACAAGAGGAGGGGCTATTCTCGACACTAAGATCTTTTCCTTTGGCAAGGCGTTAGAGATATATGATGCAGAGGCTAGAGCTGCTTTACATGGCCTAGAACTAGCCCTAGACTCCCCTTTCTGGTCTTTGGCTAGAAAGTGCTGGATCTGCCTCGACAACCTTGAAGCTACACTACAGTTAACCTACCGGTCCTGTGGCACCTCGCAAGAAACCTTTAACAAGGTCAACGAATTAACTCAATCTTACCCTGGGAAAATACGAACAAGGTGGTGCCCTAGCCACATAGGTATCCTAGGCAATGAGATTGCGGATAAAGCTGCAGGGAAAGCGGCGCGGACACCCCCCTCTGGTCCCCTCCCTCTACTCTGTACGGCCACGCTTCAGAGAGAGGTAAAGGAGCTAGGGATCAGGCTAGCAAGAAACCTCTGGAATACTACACTCCCAGTTCTATATAAGGACCTAGGCCTCTGTACCTGGTTCTTGAAGCCCAAGTCTCTCCAGTTGCCAAGAGAGGTCCTCGCTCGCTTAATCGCTGCTCGTTCTGGACACGGAGACTTTACTGCCTACCATCTTCGCTTCTTTCACTTCGACGCGCTACTCAATTCAGGGAACTGTAAGTGTAGGAAGGCCAAGACCCAGTTCCACCTACTCTTTTGCAAGCTAGCAAACAACAAAGCCCCTAAGCTATTAGCAAAGGCTGAGAAGAACCCTCAACTGCTCTTTGGATCTCACTGCGAGGAGCTATTTAGCCAGGTCTACTTTAAGACCGAATTCTACACTAAAATCTGTCTCTCTAGATAGACAGGCCTTCTTTTATTTCTCTTTTCTTTCTTCCTTTTATTAAATATCTCCTTTGTTGTTACCCTGGTTCTAGAACTAATTAAGGATAAGAGCTGTTCCGAAAGTGGAGCTTCTCTCTAAACTGTCTCTTGTAAATTAGCTCTTTCCGTTTACACCCCCTGTAGCCTAGGGCACCCCCCTAGCGTCATTTGCCCTATTTTGGGACTCTTTAGGACCTAGCCCATGCGAGCTAGAATCCGCTTGACGTTAAATAAAAATAAATAAATAAATAAATATCTATTATACAAATATACAGGAATACCTATCTCCCCCCATCTTTCTGCTTACATCCTAATACGAAGGTTCAATTGGCGGCGACGCATTCTTAACCAACATCTGCACATACTCATCCCACCATTGTCCAGCATTCGGCGCACTAGTACCCTGAACACCCACACCCGTATACCCACAAGGCCCATCACTCTCACCTCCTGGCTTCGCCCAAACAATACTGTCCACTAGCGTAGTGTTTGTCTGAATCGTAGGACGGATCCCAAAACCCGCCTCGATGTTACACCATTCTCCCCACGTCTGTCTGGTATTTTGAAGTCCCGAACGGCCCTGGTCAATGATGAAGTGTGCGGGCAAGGAGAGGTTGGTTAGCAATGGAGCGAGCGACTCGACGTAGCGGAGTTCGTCGTAGGAAGGTGAGTTGGCGGTGTAGTTTGCGCGGGGAGAAGCGATGTAAGGGTTGAAGTTTGAGACGTCGGTTGCGAAGCCGCGGATTTTGGCTGTGGCTGTGAGATTTTGGGCCATGGAAAGGACTTTGCGGAACTCGGCAGACGCTAGGAAGTTGTTAGCCAGATGTATTTTTGTTTGTTTGTTGATATGAGATGGAACTTTACCACGACGAAGATGATCGGGCCATCCTAACCATCCACCATGTGCGGCATCGATATACAAATTAATGTTCCTAGCTTGCAACTTCGAAATCGCATATGCTATTCCCTGCTCGTAACCCGGTGCAGCCTGAGAACAGAGTTCAGCACCCATATTCGTGACCACATTCCCCAAAGAATCAGGTTCAAGAATGATAGCGAAAGTCAAATCCGTAGCAGCCTTGACTTTCTCTGCACAAGGATCCACAAAGAGAGTCTTATATTTGTTCAGTCCATCATCCGCATTTGTGAACTCCCCAGCCGAAGCCCCGGCCGAGCAATCTCTATCAGGAACATTGTAAAGAACCAATTGCACAATCTGTTCTTTCCCAGTACTTTCCTGTACAGCCCGTGCCTGTGTAATTGCATTGTCGATGTTTGAGAGGTTCGATACTCGATCTATCCAAACGAATGTGGATATCTTCTGAACGGTGCGTACACGAGCTGCATTCAACGTATCATTCTTAGCTAGAAAAGCGTCGATAGTCTGATTTAACTTGGCTGCGTAGGAAGGATTGACAAATTGGGTTCGCTCAAGATATGGGTTCTGATCTGCGGATTCCCAGAATTGTGCGGAGACTGCTGTAGCAGACAGAGCTGCGATGAGGGTTGAGGTCTTCATGGCGGAAGAAACCGAATTCTTGACGGATGAAGAGAAAACATTTTGCGATGCTGAGAGCAACATATAGACTTTGTTTTCTTCTTGTTCGAAGTGTACGGCAATTCCTCCAGATCCGAAGTTGCCGTATTGTGGAGAGCCTTGCCCCTGAATTCATTGCTTGAAGCTAAACAAGAATGTTATGAAAGATATGATTCAAAGGGAAGACGATTCACAGGTTACAGGAGAAGTCATTAAAGTGGGTGATTGTACATAGTTTAGCTGTACAGTGTCGAAATATCCTTTCAGAAGCAGCATGATCCCAACCTCATAGAAGCAGGATGCAGAAATACCTGAATAATGAGCTGAGAGAATGAGCAATCAAGAGTTGAAAATGAGCGCGAGTAATATTTATCAAAGCGCGAAACCGCAGCGCAAATTCCTGAAACTTGATTGTAATTGTCTCTCAGCCACGGCGAAACAATGTCATACCCACGTGATATGCTAGGATAAAACTAATTTTGAGAAAGATGAATCGGTAATTTCCGAAGATAGAACTAAGAAATAATTTTTCAATTTGGTTTTAGTACTAGTACATTATTCATCAATCTTTTAGAAAACTTCTTTTTCTTCAACGTTAAACCGCTCATTTCATGAAACCCTTCTTCCCATCACCATCCGCATCAACCATGGGGTTGATTCTGTCCAACAAAGATGGTTTTTTCGTATCAGCGTGCGTACCGTGACTGGTGGTGTTACTGGTATCTCGGCTAACTCCCGTATTAGTAGTTCGAGGGGCAGAAGAACCACTGCCCATGTATGTTCCAGTTCCTGTGGTGTAGTTACTTCCGGTGTTGGAGCCATGTTCGTGGCCATGTGTGCCATGCGTTGGAGTACCATGAGCAAGACGATTCGTATCCCGAGAACCGTCCATGTCAGAATCCACCCGAGGATCTACCTTGTTCATTATAGATGAGTTATGAGGACCGGCCGTCCCAGCAGTACCCGTGGTTGAACTATGCATGGGGTGATGGCCGTGGTGACCATCTTTCTCAGTCAAAGATGTAGTGCCATGTGCTCCAAGTCCACCCATGGTACCTCCAACAGATTTGGGTTCACCAACGAAGGCATCACTACGCTCTGCGCGACCCTCGAGATGGCCTCCCTTATTCTTGAAATCATGCATGCTTACGGCTGGCAATTGGGAAGCAGTATGATGCTTGGCCTCGTTTTGGTGAACCTCGTGAACTGGTACTGTGGTATGAACAACTGATGGTTGTATAGTCTCCTTTTGCACGACGGGCTGAATATTTTCATGTACGTGGTGATGAACATGCTCTCCAACCAAAGTTGGCTTAGCGGAAGAAGTGTGTTGAACATCACCAACGGTTCGATGGTCTTTAAATTGTGCTGCTTCACTCTGAAGACGCTGCTTGACAAGTTCGTCATTGCCGTGGTTGAATTCACGATGCTCGACTCCAGCCATTTGATGTGTATGTTTCTCTGGAAGAACTTCACGGTCCTTGACAGGTTGGACTGATGTGTGGTAATGGTCTTGGTGTATCTCGCGGTCAACAGCAGTTGTCTTATTCTCATGCTGAGTCCTAGTCACATTCTCGTGTGTCACGGCAGGATTGACGGTCTGAGGCAAGTCAGCATAAACGCTCACAAATATACTAGAAAGGTACTTTGAAAAGGGTGCTTACCTCGTGTACAGTAGTATCGTGATTTCCATCTTTGTTGAGGAATCCAGAAACAGCTTGCTTTGCCTTATCCATTTTGAAATTTGATGAATGAGATTATTTGAGTAATTTTTATGAGAGGAAGTTGTGTTTTTGAATGATAATTGTGTAGGAAGGAGCTTTGCTATAAATATAGAGGTTATTTGGAGCTCTGGGAGCTGTCATCGAAGCTACATCATCAATGACGGCCAACGGCAGCATTCGTAGTCGAGATGGCGTAAGCCACATTGTTAATTGAGAAGTTGGATGATCTGAATCGAGTCCAGTAAATTCGGAATGTAGAAGTCTAGTTCCTTTGGGCCTGCAAGATATTGAGGATAACAAGCTGTGATTTGTTGATGGTGCGGGATGACGACGATTGCGTTCTTCAGATGCTCTTGTGTGTATTTTGAAACACAGCACTATTCATGCTGAAAGTTCCACTGAAAACCCTACACAGAGGCATCAAATACAGCTCGCGGCATTAAAAAGAGCTGGCGATAGCCGGGCTAGGGCCCCCCAAATGGATGGATGTCCCAGCTGAAATACTGAAGATAACCATCGAAACAATTTTATGGGGAGATCTACCTCAAGGATAACAAACCGCATTGGGCAGAGTATATTCATAGCAACGAAAGCAGCACATGGCATTTACGAATGCCATGTTTTCGCCAAGTATCGCTAAGCGAACTCCGGAACTCGATTACATCATGATCGCGATTGTGAGGTGTGTGGCGGATCCTCGCACCCTCCCCAATAATCACCGTCTTGGTATTTATTCTTGTCTCGGCTCCTGTTAAAAGTTGAATCTAGGCCTAGAGGCTTCACAATGTTAATTTTGTTCTGGACTTTGCCAACATTCAAAGTTCTTGAAGTGCATGTGGGTGATCGTCGAAAAAAGATCTAAATACAGTAAAGCTGCCTCCACAAGTACGCTCGAGCATAACAATAAACAAAACAACCAGAAAAGGGGAAGGGAATGATCCAGAAGCTAGCCACTAAGGGATGCTATCGACACTCTAGATCTTCGCCACATAAACTTACTACTCCTGATTTCATTTCAGGAACTTGTGCTCGAGCTGGTCCAGGCGCTCACGCCCATACGAACGGAGACGGGCAGTATTAGCCTGCCAAAATACGACTCATGGCGGTTGCGATGCTGTGAATACATTCATTACAGTACTTTAAAGTGGAACGGGGGCTCGAGGGAGATTTAGTTGACATTGCTATGGGCTAGTTCATGCTCATGCTCTGCTTCGGAACTTTCGTGATATGGCATGAGCGCAACGTACCAATTTGGGAGTGACGGGACGGAGAGACTAAGGGAAATGAAGATGTATAATTGCACAACCCTTCCTGTGGTTAGATGATACTGGTGGTGGAACTGACAAGATCTTCATCAATTCTGTTCCTGTTCCTGTTCCTCTGTACATATTCCAGCTACCCCACAATGCCTCAAAACCTGGCTTCCGCCGTTCGGCAATTCTTCTGCTTCCCGAATTATCGATATAACAAGAAAAAAGGCATCGTGAAAACTTCAACTATTTCAGACTCCAAGCAGGAAACTTTACAATATCCAAAGGTAGAAAGCGCGAGTGAAGTCTCCTCTTCGACTTGCACCGTCAATTCTCCAGACGTGCACGCCTTCTATGACAATATAAACAACCCTCACTCCGCTGCCGTCCAAGATATGAATCGATCGAGATGCGACAAGCACAACAGTGTTTATGTTTATGATACCGAATATGATATGATCAAAAGATACAGCACACCACCTGTCACCAATCCCCAACTTTTCATCCCCCGAACGGCCACAGTCAACGCTTCAACGTCCTGTTCTGAGAACAGGTCTGCTTCCCACTACGTCGCTGCTACTCCGCAAGCCTCTCAGAATTCATTTTCTTCAGTCTCCAGACTCCAAGCTCTGTCATACGACGATGTTGCTGCTGCCGAACCGCCACGTATGGTAACACCAAGACCTAGGAGCAGTTATGACCAGCCTCTCAAAACATTTTCACCACGTCGTCGAGATCTCCTCAGGACACCATCATCGTGGACACTTAGAAGTGTAAGCCAGCCTCTTTCCAGGCCATTGCACTTGGATCACCGTCATATTCCTGCCAGCACCATATATGATGAAGAATGCTCGCGAAATTGGAGTCAAGAACAAGAAATAAACGAGAAGGGATATGTAATTGTTAAGAGGGAAGTTCCGGCAAACAACTACGAGAAAAATCCACGTTTTAGAGCCGGTAGCATCAGGAGCAACTCAATCCGCTCTACCAGATCTCATAGATTTGCCCCATCTCCAGGTGTTGCAACGCCCACCCGTAACTGTTTAACCCCCCAACCGATAGGCATAGGGAAAGTCATAAGAGGCCAAACCCTCACTCTGGATACATTCGTACCATACCACCCAGCTGAAGCTCGCTGGAACGAACCGAACCGAAAGCCACCAAATAACAACAATAACGAAATACAACCAAAATTTGATTGCAATTTAAAACCAATATCAATAAACACCCGTCGAGACGAGTCAGGGACCGTGGAATTACCTTGTCTGGCTAAGGATATTGCCCTATCAACAACTGCTCCCAAACGAGACAAGCCCCACCTTCTGACCAATGCGTATCAAGCCATTGACGACACCATTCTTTCCATACCCATCTCCCGCTATCGACCTACAGCCAACACTATCTTTCTGCCATCTGGTCCATCTGTTCCATCTGGTCCATCTGGTCCATCTGGTCCATCTGGGCATAATTCACACAAGTCTGACGGGGTCAAAGCTCAATCTATTGGCAATACTGTATGGCCTGAAGCTTTTAGACATTCGATGTATTCGATTCCAAATCCAGGCATCCACTTTGGCACGGTGACCTCAAACACCCCGAGCTCTTACAATTCTCCTGCCCGCCACTCCTTACGAGCTTCTTTCTATTCTGATTATGATTATCTTACTGCCTACCAATTTCCAGCTCTGATCAACGGTGTCGAAGCGGGAGATCATTCAGAAGGTACATCGTTCTGACCAGAAACTGCAAACGCTCTCGATGTCGAGTCCTAGGATACCTCAAAGAACACCCTCTGTTGCTCAAAGTAGCTCAAAGATAGGATCTATTGATCCGTCATCGCCAGGGAGAGTCCATTCAAGGCAAAATGATACAAATGGAAAGAGTAAACAAGAGCCATGGATTATTCGAGGCGCCAGCGAACCGCTGAGTGTGGAGGGTATTGTCGATTTGACCAACACTGTGGACACCGACGTAATTACGCAAACATTACCCGGTAAATCTCCTTGTGTGCCTCCCTCTGTAATGTGCCTGAAGTAATTGATTCACGCCTTGATATTTGAGTTGAGTAGTTTCGTTGGGCGATAGAAAAAATATCTCGTTTTTGTATGCACGCTTCGCTACATGTTCTCACTTGCTAACAATACTCTTTCAGCTGTCACCCACGAGCATGTAACTCCCAAAGTGCACGAAATACGGCACGAAGAAATTACGCGCGAGATCCACAAACATGATATCTTTCATCGAGTCCTTCCAGTAATTGAAACCGAAATCCTGCCCGCAAAACATTATGTCGTCTCACCAGATGGAATCACGCTCAAAGAAATTCCTGCAGATATGGTGCCGGGTCGAACCATAGACGCGAGTCGAAACCGGAACTGGGAGATCAGAGAAACTGGTATAGGAAAATCCTACTGTTCAGAGTCTCAGTCGTCACGAACTCTTAGACATAAGCACTCCTCAAGTAATCTGAGCGCAGACAGTTGGAGTAGCGCTCGGTCTACCTTTGAAAGCGATTCACTTAAAGGGCCTCTATCTTTGGTCAATGTTGGAGGGGAACCAATGGACGTTACCAAAACTGGAATTAAGAGTCTTTCAGATCCAATCTTGAGTAGCAAGAAAGAGTACACAGCTAAGGAGGGACACCCAGTGACAGAATATGTTTGGAGACACCCACCAGTCTTCGAGACGACGAATGGACAAACTCAGCCTATCGTGATACGCACATTAATGCCTAGCGTGGGTACTGACAGTGAAAAAAACATTCCCGGGGTTGCTCAAGGAGCAAGCGCTCAGCACTCTTCAGAGCTCGATAGTATAGTTGGTGATCTTGTCCCACTAAATGCCGGACTCGATGGAAGGAGAGAGTGTTGGTCTCATATTTCACAATGCGATAGCAATAGTCTTAAGGATGTAGCTGTCGAGCATATAGACGAGGGAGGTCTCGTCGCTGATGTTGAGCGAGGGATGGAAGGTTTGGAAGTCAAAAATTAATGCTTCATACTTATCTCACGATATATAATATTTGTCCGCTTCTATCGTATCTCGCCGGCCATAAACCCCGCCCTAATCATTATCCCCGCCCAATCCCAGCATCACATCTCATGAGCTTCGACCATTACGACTGGTTTCTCCCCAGTTCGGCCCCTCTCGATGTGGGGCATGTGGAAGCTCTGGAAGCTCATTCGTCTTCTACTTTCGCAACAAATGCTGATCTAGAATTGTTTATTTATGAATTGGCCTCTCATATCACATGAAATACCATGAATTAAACTTTTGTTCCTGTTGCTTGTTGGTTATCGTCCATCGACTGGGATTTGACTGGGTTGTGGCCCACTGCTAATCGTTCGCCCCTGCAATGGATGTGAATCCACCTTCCTCATGAAGAAGTTCTACCCTTAGTGCTCTTGGCCCGTTGAAGAAATATATCACTGGGAAAATCCTTAGTGATGGAGGGCTTCTTTAACTTCACTCATTCTTTCAGTTGTCCCAGTGTGTGTCTAGCTACCGCGATTAGAACCATGAGGTTCCAAAGTACTTTTTCGAATGGCATCTTGGCTTCTTCCCTCCCCGTTGCTTTGGGATGGGGGAGTCTGGGACATCAAACTGTCGCTTATGTGGCTACGAATTTTGGTAAGTTTGTTACGCTGAGAACTTCATTATAGAAATTACAGATATTTCTCTTTCTAGAATGAAGATTTCGTGAACCTCGTTTCCTGAAGGGAAAAAAAGGAAGGAAAAGAAAAATACTAACCCTCGCAACCTCTAGTAAACGAACTCACCAAGGCAAAATTCCAAACCATCCTTGGGGATACGACTTCCGATTATCTAGCTTCAATCGCAACTTTCGTTGGTCTCTCTCTCTCGCTCTCGTCTCCTTCTCCCTTAGTTCGCTTGTAATAAATTTGTTAATTGACGCTAACATAGTAAACAGGCAGATTCCTATCGCTACACCGAAGGTGGAGAATTCACATCTCCATATCATTATATTGATGCGATGGACTCTCCGCCTGAGACGTGTGGTGTGGATTTTGAGAGGGATTGTCCCGAGGAGGGGTGCATTGTTAGTGCTATCAGTAATTATGTGAGTTGTTAAAAAAGGCTGCTGAGCTGTATGAGGTGATAGGAAGAGACAGCGGTGAGCTGACTGAGGAGTTAGACTACCAGGATCCAGAGTAGTAGCTTGAGTGAAGCAGAGGTTTTATTTGCTGCTAAGGTAGGTTTTAGTGGATGCTTATGGGGTGAATGGGTTGAAAGCTAACTTTGGGATAGATGGTTGTTCATGTACGTTTGAAAGCTTTTTAGTTGCAAGAACTATTGTTGAAGGGCAGATTTTGGCGTGTTGGAAACTCGTTGGTGTTGGCTAACCAATGTAGTTTGTCGCAGACATCCATCAACCTCTTCATAGTAAGTTAGATTTCATCCCAATTGAGGCACAATCTTAGTAACACTTCTCCAGACGAGAACCTTGCCGTAGGAGGAAATACCATTCTAGTCACCTTCGATGGAGCAGCCACCAATCTCCATGCAGTTGTAAGTTTCCCTCCATGCTTCCTAACTTTCTCTTGGCTTAATAAGATCCTAACTCATCCCCAAAGTGGGATACATCTATCCCCCAAAAGTTTGCGGGATCAGCAACCCTAGCTCACGCCCACACATTCGCTGCCAACCTGACTGATGCAATCCAAACTGGGGTCTACAAAAACGAGAGCGCAACTTGGTTGAAGGGTATCGACTTGTCTGTTCCAGTGGAGACTGCTATGCTATGGGCTGTGGATGCTAATGCTTTTGTTTGCACGGCTGTGATTCCCGAGGGCCCCAATGTGACTACGACGATAGATTTGGGGGGCGAGTATTATCGAGAGAATATACCTGTGGTGCAGAGGCAGTTAGCTAAGGCTGGATACCGGTGAGTTCTTGGGTGCTGAGGGCAGATTGGATCATGAGGAGCAAGGAATACTGACTTATTTTAGACTTGCTAAGTGGTTGGATTTGATTGCTGCTTCTACTGCTTGATTGTTGATGAATGGTGTTTTTTTCATGAAAATTACGGCTCTTAGGAAGGTAACTTGGGTATGATATTTATGAAACAACACATGCTTTCGATTTCCTAATTACATTATGCATTCGTTTAGGTTGGTCAACCATCCAATCTCTGTCATTCACTATTTCTCCTCTGCGTTCATTTACCCTTTCGTCATAATTAGCCGAGAGAGTCTATTTTAAGACCTTGTTTGATTTGATCTATTCACTTCCACTTGTTAAAGTTTCTCCGCCCGAAATCCACATTTCACGATTCGTAGGGTGACTGTGGCTTATATCTTGGCACCCGCAACATCCGCAGTTTGATTGTGGCGGAGTACTCATAAATGATATATAAAAGACTCCCCTCTTCGTTGCTTCCTTTACTTCTGTTCTCTCTAACCCTTCGAGTATCGATGCATTTCTTTCGAAAAAAACAAGCAAAGCATGTCCAACTACACAGTCCAATCAGGCGACACTTTCGCTAGCATCGCTACGAAAAATGGAACAACGATAGATGCTTTGGAGAAAGCAAATCCGGGAGTGAAGCCGACTGCACTTGCAGTTGGACAGGTCATCAACCTTTCTACCAATATGAGCAGTTCATATACTATCAAGGCAGGCGATACATTGGGAGCAATTGCTGCAAGTCAAAACATCGATGTGTCATCAATCGAGAGAGAAAATCCTGGCTTGGTTCCCACAAACCTTCAAGTTGGCGCTCAAATCAAGATACCTTCTTCATGCTCAAATCAACCGGCATTTTTAACAAAACTATCAGCTCACTCACATCCTCAACCTCCAACTCATAGTCCACCTCGAGCAGCAAAGTCACACACAATCCAAAGCGGGGATACCTTTACAGTCATAGCAACCAAATATGGAACCACAACAGAAGCAATTGAAGCTGCCAATCCTGGGACAACCTCAACCGCTCTCCAAGTCGGTCAAGTCATCAACCTACCAAAAGGCCCAAGCACTCTCCAATCATCAATTACTCAACTCTTCAACCTACCAAATACCATCAAAAATCATCTATCACCAGCCCCTCAACTGTTCAACCCAAACCTAGGAGCAGGCTGTGAAACCGGCCACGGCTACAAACCATACAGCGGCCCACCATGCAACTACCCACCCCAACACCTCTGGGCACCCTACCCAGTCCTCTGGTCTCAAAACGCGCCCCTAATGGCCCATCACAACACCCCCCATCAAATCCGCATCATCGACCGAGCAATTCATCACTTAGCCTACGAAACAGGACTCGATCCCCGGGCCATCCTCTGTCTCATCATGCAGGAATCCGGGGGAAACGTCCATGTAGGCACGACGTTCAACGGCGTTACTAATACGGGCTTGATGCAGGCTTATGATGGGGTTTCGTTCGATCCGAGGTGGGAGGAGGAGAGTATCTTCCAGATGATTAGGGATGGGGCGGCGGGGTCGAGGAATGGGCCGGGACTGAGGCAGGCGTGGGAGGGGAATGGGTGGGATTACTTTGTTGCTTTTAGGGTTTATAATAGTGGGAATGCTAACTTGGAGGATTTGAATGATCCTAGGGGTGCGACAGGGAGTTATGTCGTGGATATGGGGAATAGGTTGATGGGCCATGTTTGGGGTGGTATGTGAGGTACGAGTGAGAAGTCTGCTTCTCTCAGAACATTAATCGAGATGTTTTGAGATAGTTGATTGAAAAGTTATAGAGATTTCGAGCGATCATACAAAATCTAGATAATTGAAATACTTCATGATAAACTTGGAAAATTGACACAATGTCGGAGATATTTATTGCATTTTTGGTGCCCCCTTTGAGGGGTGATCGTGATTGAATTAGTAATCGATTGACACTGTAAGCTATTGGGCTACAACTCCGCTACTCGTCTGTGATGATTAGGATGACTAGCCTCCGTATACTGTAGCAGTTTCATTTGCGAACCAATAGATTCGCTCCACAGCTCCCTTAGGAGAGTCCCCCAACTGTAGAGAGGAAGGGGTCAGTGTGGAATTCGTTGCACTATGTACAGTACAGTAAGCCCTACAATAATAAAGTTGCGGGGTAAATTCCCCCTGAACCCCCATTCTCGAGACCGCTTTCGATTACCAAATGTTCAAAGTATCTACATAGCAAGCAAACACGAGTCGCGATAACTGACTTTGTATACTTAACCATGATTCTCTCTCCCTTCATAGCAACCGTCCTCTTGTTTCCCTTTACTCTCGCAGCTCAAAGACAAATAGCAAAATATCACCACCTCCCACCCCTTCGAGAACAAGCTGCCATCCAAGATGCCTGGACCGCAGAGCGGATATCAAATATCCCCAATATATTAAAGAAATACAATGCTGATGCTTGGCTAGTAAATTTCCCTTGAAATTGAGAGCCTCATAATTTTCCGTCGCTCATAATTCGTAGATGACGCAAAAAGAATACGCCGAAGATACAGTCTTCTGGTCACTCAAATCGGCCACCCAGTTCTTCGCCCGTCGCAGAACAGTAGATCTCTTCATCGCTAACGCCAGTCCTGGAACCAAATCTTCTTATAATTGGATAGATAATACTAATGAAGTCTGGACTGAACTCTTGGATATTCTTGAATCGCAAAATATATCGAGGATTGCGATTAACGCCGATGAGGGAAGTGCTTTTAGTAGTGGTCTCCATGTTGGAGAGCTTGAGATGTTGAAGGAGAAGTTGGGAAAGGGATGGGTGGAGAAGTTTGTGGTTGAGAGGATGGTTGCGGTGGAGTTTGTTGCTACGATGGTGGAGGGACGGTTGGGGTGGTATAGAAAGTTGCAGGAGACGGCTTGGGCGATGATTACGGAGGGATTTTCGTCTTCTGTTATTGAGCCTGGAAAGACAACTACTGCAGTATGTCGTGCATGCATAATTTCTTACCCTTTTCCTGCGTTTTCTTCTTTTGGTTGTGACATGCTGATTCAAAGCAGGATGTTGAGTGGTGGTTACGAGAAAAGATCTTGCATATGAACTACACCACATGGTTTCAGCCGACTGTAAGTGTATTAGGAGAGAAGTCTCCTTTGGAAATCGCATCTACTGGACCTCCTGGGATCGAATTTGGTGATCTCCTACATGTCGACTTTGGTGTCACAGCTCTGGGCATGAATACCGACACTCAACATCTAGCTTACGTTCTTGGACCGGGAGAAACCGAAGAAGATATTCTAACTGGATACTTGGACGGCTTGAAAAAAGTAAATCGTCTCCAAGACATTCTGAAATCAAACATGGTAGTTGGAGTATCAGGAAACTAGGTTCTCCTGAAGAGTCTAGCTCAAATGAGAAGTGAGGGGATAGAAGGCAGAATATATTCGCATCCAATTGGCGACTGGGGTCATGCAGCTGGAGCTCTAATAGGTAAGTTGACAGGTTTGAAATGGTCTGAAATGTAGACTGATTTCACATGCAGGCATGTTCAATCTCCAAGACTCGGTTGCAACACTTGGTGATCTCCCGATTTTGAAAAGTATGTATTACAGCGTCGAGCTTTACGCAGAGCATTTCGTCCCTGAGAGGAACTTGGCTATCCCATTCTCTCTGGAAGAGGACGTTTACTGGGATAAAGATACGGGGGCATTTGAGTGGGTTGTGGGAAGACAGGAGAAGTTTCACTTGATTGATATACAGAAGAAAAGCACTATTCGTGTACCAGAATTGTAAAAGTATCTTCGCATGTCTTACACCCCTTCTTCGCCCTGAGGGTAAAAGAGGCGGGTATTACTCTGTACACACCTGAGTTATAAAAATATTATCCTAAAGACCTCGTACAACTAAATCAATTATACGAATAGTTTAGAGCAATTATTACTTTTCAATTCTTATTGTGCTAGGTGAAATGAAACAATTGAGATACTTGTGCCAGATTTTTGACATAATGACTTTCAATAGGGTGTACAGAGCAATGCTCGCCTCTCTTACACCGGACATTTAATCCAAGAAGCATGGCGTAAAGGGCGGAATATATATCACAAAGCTTGATCGCGAATTAGTATAAAAACGTCTACCCTTGAGCCTGAAATATACGAGATCATGGACGTCTTCCATGTTTGTTTCTTGAATGAATACTAAAACCATAATAAGCGAGGGCAGTTATCTTACAATCCTCCCAGCGGACAAGAAAAGTGGCAGAGATTCATTTTTTAACTAGGAGCGCAAGTTAATTGTAATTACTAAAATGTTTGAAATATCTAGAACAATTGCCTTTATTGTACTATCGTTTTCGATAAATCATTTTTATGTTTTTAAATAAATAAAATAATATAATTGTTTTAAATAAATAATGTAACATAATAGTTTTTAGTTAATTTGGGATAAGATAAAAGAGGTCTCTGCCACTTTTCTTCGAGAGATATCTTAACTACCAGTTATGCTAAGGAGGCCACAACCTTTGTAATCTGGGACACTGATCAAAGTCTACGGCATCACGTTAAATAATCGGGACAGTTATTCGACGGAAAGAAGTGTAAAAATTTATTGCAAGCTGGAATAGTTGAATAAACAAATGTCAATACCCCCGCTAATATGAATCTCTCAAATATTCACGAAGAAAAGTCAAACTTGCTAAGCAGGTGTAACCCACGCGCCTGGCTCAGCCATCAGGTCATCAGCATAGCTCCACATCTCCTCTCTCTCTCCCCCCCCCCTCCTGCATCACACCGCAGAGAACACCGGGTAAGTTAAATGCGTGGCCCAAATTCAACTGGGTAACCTTGTCCTGCTTAGCCCAGAGCTTCCATGATCTGAAAACCACCTTTTTGTAATCCCCCGCAAATACTCTGTAGTGGTAGACGTGATCCATGTTATCGATGAACATACTGCGATAGAACCGACGCAATTTTAATGTCTGTTCAGTTTCTAAAGCCCAGCTGAGGGGGTTAGCAGGTTACTTCGCATGACAAACCACAAAAACTGATATTGCTCCAAAGTCCACGACGGTACTCTCGCGCTCCTTGAGTTTTGACGTACTGTAATCCAGATCGGGTGGCGATCAAAGATCGCTCCAAACAGAGCTCGACGTTGTTGCGTTGTGATGATTCTGAAAAAACGTGGTTTTGACTTGGCCTCCACCTTCTTGATGATTGCTAGTACCCATCTGCGCAATACTTTCGTTGACTTGTGTTGTCAGGATTATACTGACCAGTGGTTTCCACCGCACGGAACCTGCATGCATGGATGAAATGGAACACAAAGGAGGGGCATATGCCAGGGCTATATAAGCCAGGCTCCTGCCCATAGTTATTACCTCCCTAGTCATCTGAATACAACTCTTCTGGCACCCTGGCCTTCCATATTCCTATCAACAACTTGTATTGGCTGTCTCGGCTGATTGCAATGAGTGAGGCTCTCAATGACTTGAAGGTGGCTGTGTTGGTTTCGTGGCGGATGGCTATGCATTCCCGCACTGCAGCTTCTGAAGCTTCTCTCTGGCAGCGAAGAAAAGGATTTTTTTGTGAGGAACCTTGTCCTCATGAGCCACCTCACGATCTGCCGAGTCCCCAACAAAGTGCTCGCGCGCATTTCTGATATTTGGGCCACGGGCCTTGATTGCCTTCGCCATCAGCCTCTGATCGTTCGTGCGTTACCTGCAAGCTGTTGTTAGAAAAGATCCTCGATAAATAGACAACTCTGTATCACCTACGTCTGGTTTCTGCAACATTGGTTCGAAAGTCTCTCTATTGACCATGGCAAGGATGCGCTCGTAGATTGTCCTCGTCGGACGAACGGTGACGAGATCGGAGATCGCGCCATTGTTGAACATTATGGTCGATCTCGGCCGAGTTGACCTGTTGAAAGGGTTGGCGAGAGCGATTTGAGATGTGGAAGGATAACTGGTCGCATCGACCGAGGAAGAAAGAAGAGGTTGTTGATCAATGGATGTTGATGGAAAAAGTTGCGGAGGAGTAAGAGAAGAGAAGAAGTTTGAGAGAGATCGAGAGGTTGATATACCCCAAACCCCGCACTAGTGCACTAGCGCACTGACGTGGTGCTACGGCTAGGGTGAATGTCAAGATGAACTTCATTCTCTAGATATTGAAGGTGAGGTTGTGTTTCCGAGATTTGGACTCGCTTCCTACAACAGCAGATATTTATATTCACCTAAGAGAGGCGGGCATTACTCTATACAAGCCATCAAAATTCACTATGCCAAAAGTCTAGTACAGCTTAATTGATTGTCCTATTTGATCTGGGTTAGTAAGGAGTGAAAAGTATTAATTATTTGAAACTATTCCTGTAAAGGTGTAATTGATTTAGTTGTGTGAAGTCTTTCAGATAATATTTTTTATAATTCAGGGGTGTAAGATCGCACACCTGGTCGTTACTCTGTACACACTATATAAAACTCTATTGTACTAAAGTTGTAGTACACGCAAGATAATCGTCTTAGGATACCTAGCTTAGTGAAAAGTAAGAGTTAACAATTAGTCAAGGTCTTTATATAACTATTTTAGTTGTACTACGTTTTTAGAATAATTTTATTCTAGGAGAGGTGTGTATAGAGTAACGACCATCTCTCTTACAAGCTAATCCGCCTCTCTTACTTTACTAATTCGAAAAAAAAATCAATTGTTGGGACTATGTCATCTACTCTACCGAGTATTTCGTGTATCTTTGGTTGAGGAATAGACAAGTGCATAAGGTCGTTTCTACCTGTTTTCTATGGTAATAATGTAGATAACAAGCAAGTTTCAAGATCGTGAGAGTTTAGTTGCTAACCTTGGGGTACGGTAGGTTTCAGTAGTTCATCATGAGAAATCTGTTGTTGTTTTTTGGGTTGGGTATTGGAGCTATTCTCTCTTCTCTTGGCTGTTTTCCAAGGGCGTCCACGCTATAGTACAGTAGCACCCTAGTTGCTGGAGGGTGTAGTGTTTTATATACCCATATTGCCATGTCAACCAACTGCATGTCGGTCAACTCAGTATCTAGCAATTCTCCGATGTGTGCAAATCCATTGCCTTTCGCCAGTGCACCTTTCCATGCCTTGGCTTTTGTAATGGCGTTAATATGATCTCCTCGTCCCCGAGTCTTGGGGAGGGCATTGTTTGCGTTCTCCCAGGCTGTCGTTACTCGGAGCGCCTCTTCTTGACATTCCTTTGTCAAGGATGCCCATATATCTGGTCCAGAATTAGTATTTTGGACAGAATGGTTCGTAGGTAGTAGTTACCTCTGCCTGCTGGTTGAGCAGACTCTTGTCCAACTGGCCCTTTTTCCGCGCTCTCCTCCGCTCCTCCAAAATCTTGCCCCTTTCAGCTTTGCTTTGCTTTCTTGACGTTTTGACGACTAGGAATGATTGTCTCGACCCTCTCTATCATGCCCACTATCCGCTGTATTCGCTAAAGCAACTCGACAGTGGTATCCAGGTAGCCGGCCATCCTGCTATGATGCAAGCCGAATGTTTGGAGTATATTTCCTGATTGAATTGGTAGAAACGTCCAAAGAGAAGGAGTGCCAGGCACGAAACTACTGTATCGACGGGATGGAAGGAGCGTGACGTCAAGTCACGTGTGGCCAGCTACAACAGTCGGGGGATTCAATTGGCGCCCCGCGTTTTCCTTCGAAATATGTAGAAAAATGGTATCATGCGGTCCAGTTTCTGTGGGAGACTTCAAGAAAGTGATACTGAAGTTTCATCGTGCAGGTGGAGCCCGTTGCCCCTCCAAGCAGCAAATGTGAAGCCGTGCCCAACGAGATACTCTACTTCGCAGCCACCGGGAAACTGCCCCACCCTTCACTTTCCAACCTCTTCTTGCAATGAGGTACAGAAGAGCTTGTTTACCGAGTCTTCGAATACTTCAACGATGCACACGATGGATACGCCATGGGCAATGACCCCCCATTCTGATGGCCACTCGCAACAATACCTCTCTGTGCACAGCAGCCAGTTAGCAACGAGACCTTACACGATCAAGTCGCTTACGAGAACAAAGAACGGAGTCGAGTCTACATTAAAACCCCTTTTGAAGTCACCATGCCTACGGTTCAGATTCACGGCGGAACAGACAATCCCGCCATAGAGCTGTTTCTACGGCTCAAAGACGGTGGTAACTCGAAGAGTGATCCTCCAATAGAAACCATCGTCATGAAGTTTCACGCATTGGAGCAGTGGAATCACTTCCGAAAGTTCTCTCGTTACATCGAGAGCCTGTTGGTTTAGTCCTATGGCCGCCGAAAAGCTTGAAGACCTCCTTGCGAAGAACCACTTACGGCCCTTGAACTCAGAGCCACCAAAGGACTTTACGCAAGAGATTCTTAACCTCAAATGGCATCACGATAACGATAATACTGTCACGATGTCCTGGGAGTCACGAGGTTGGTCCACTTTCGGTGTTTACCTTGGCCATCCAAGCAGGGGCCCTTTCATCTGCGATGCAAAAGCAATTGACTGGTTTGCGGGAAAATGTTTTGATCGTCTAACTATGGACACCCCTCAAATTTGGACAGTCACATTTGACTATGGCAGATCCATCGAATACTCTTACCGATACCTGTTATCAACAGGTGATAACAGGTATCGGTTTACAGGCGTATTGGAGATACTGCCAGAAGCAGCAGACCCTCCTAGCAATTGTACCGTTAGATCTCTGCCAGAATCTAACCTCCAATACTCTTAACATGGAAGGTCAGCGCAACAAAAACTGGCAATTGTCTGAACCTATAGGTTTATCTGCGCCAGATCCCAACGGTCATCAACGCCACGTCGCAATCGGGCCAAAGTGGGCATTCGACTCAAACCTTGAGCTAGAGTTTTGGTTTAAGGGAGCGGACCTGTTTGAACAACAGAACGCACAGGACACTGCAAAAACCCGTATCAATGGCACACTCCCTTTCAAGGCGTACGATGCCTCGAGTATGATAATTGGACTCACGCCACGAAAATGGGTTATGATGGTCAACATCGAGTTTGACAATCGTGTGCAAGATCTCGAGCTGCCCGACTCCGGCGATTCCGTCGTCGTCTGTTGGTATAATGGGAGAGAAAAAGTCAGCTGGTCTGGCGAAATTATTGCGGATCCCTCTTCCGCAAGCGAAGAGTATAACGTTGCTATGCTCGTCATCCAATCAGACTGGAGATCAACACCAGAATTGGCAGAAAATGGATTTATTCCCGAATCCAAATTTAACGTGCCGGACGATAATCTGAAAAAGAAGTTTCAGTTTCTTAATCGCCTGTACTTTGGCGATTTCAACCTTCAAATCCCATCCAACAATTGGTTCAGACGTATACTCATGAGTCGCTTTGCTGCAGAATCACAATACTGTATACCTACACGACTGGCACTGGCCCCCGAGGCCATAGTATTGGGTAGCCAGAAAAATGAATGAGGATCAGCTCCAGGCTGTTTTTCATGTTCTCGAGACCAATTTCACAATTATCATTGGGCCTCCGCAGCCGGGAACCGAGAACTCCTTCGTCATAGCAGCCTGTATTTTACTCTTGATTCACACAGGGGAGAAAGTGATAGTGTGTAACCAGTTCAATGTAAGAGAACTGGTCAATACTCTGTACATAATATGGTAATCTACATTAAGCTAAATGCTTAGCACAAATAAGTTAAATGTCTATCTATACCAAAATTATCAAAGAGTATCAAGTAGCAATTATGCTAACCATTCGTATGTATATTTTAGTTATGCGAGGCTTGTAGACTAATATTATTCCAAGCTAGGTGTATCCAGAGTAATGAACAAGTATCTTAGTACTTCAAAACACCCTCGTTCTGGCAGTAGAGTGCGAAGCACCGCGGAGAGTCTTGAATGGCAGTATGTGGAACAGGGCTGCTGCGAACCTAGAAGATGGGTGGAATCTTCTTATCGTATCATAAATTTAAGAGCGATACTTAAGCAGTTCACCAACGCTGTCAGATTAGATGAGCCAGTCTGTTCATGAGATTGTAGTGGCGCGGATACCACATCCGTACTCAGTCAAAAATGTCATCAAGCGGATTCCGGATGAGGGTGGGGAAATGAAAGGCGTGGATGATGAGCTGGGCCAGGAGGTGTATGGACATCTCCAGTAGATGCTGAAAGAAATGGGCACCAAGTCAAAAGCGGAGCTCTCCTCACTGGAGGAACCCGAAATTATAACTACGGATGAGGCCAGGGATCGCAAACATCTGGCCAAGGCGCTCAAACAGGCCTGGGAGGCCGCTCGAGTATACACCATCGATATCGGCCACAAGTGCAGTGCATTATTCACAACGCTGGGTAATGTGTCGTCCCCCGAAATTCGGCATTTTGGTGCTACGGCACTGCTCGTGGACGAGGCTGGCACGCGGTGGACAAAATAAGCGGGACTTTTTTGTCAGTGCGTTAACATCACTAATTCATCAAAATCACACCTATTTTCATGGCGTACTAAATGAAGATGTTATGAAAACACATGGGCAAAAAAGTCCCGCTTATTTTGTCCACCGCGTGGCTGGGAACACCTCATCTACCAACATACAACTGGCCGCCGCCAGATGTCTCGCGACCCTCAAGCGGGCCGCCATAGTTGGAGACCCAGATCAGTTGCCCCCATTCCTGCTCGGCAGTGAGCGAAACCATCTGCGCGTTCAGCTGGAGTTAGATAACATGACCCGAATGATTGACAATGGGTTTACAGTATATTAAAGTACACCGTTGCGCTTGCGTGTGCAATATAGGACATATTCCGACATAAACGAAGTGCTAATTAGGCACATGTGAGAGACCTGGTTATTACTCTGTACATAATATATGGAATATTATTATACTTTACTTTTAGTACAAGTAAGATAAAGTTAAGTATATTTGGATTTTTAAAAAAGAAATAAGGAACAGATACTTAAACTATTTATATTATTATTTTGATTACGCGAGGCGTGTAGACTAATATTATTCTAAAAAAGGTGTATAAGATTATAGATCAATAACCACGTCTCTTATACCGAAGACAGAGAATCTAATTCAGTGTAGGGAATAGTGCAGTGCGTTCAGTGCGTAGTGCAGTTTTGATATCGTAAAACTAACTGTAGTTTTAGTGTTATTTGTAAAACTATAGTGTAAAAACCGCTGCACTAACTGTAGTGCACTACGATAGTGCACTAAAACTAGGTGTGAAATCAATTGTATTTGATGCTTCTGCCTCTTTATCACGTGATTTGTTAAGGAGTTATATAATAAGCCGAAAGTATCTAGGCGGTGGGCTCTAAGGTAATTAGAGTGCAAGAGATTGTCAGATTTTACTTAAAACGGCTAGCTTATATTAGATATCCCCGATTCTCCGAGCACGTAATCACAACCTACCTAAATTCACCTAAAAGAAGTATATATATAGATATTTCAATTGTATATACGTACAGTGCATAGTGCAGTGCAGTTTGCCAGTTCTAAATTAATAAACTGTACTAACCAGCTAGTACAAAATAGGACTCTTCAAACCGTACAAAATTAGATAAACTGCACTGTAGTGCAGTGCACTGCACTATCCACTGGACCTATTCCCTACACTGATCTAATTCGGCTTCTATTTAATCACCTGAGTACGAAACAATCGACCAGCCCGTGCAAAGTGTCTAAAATGGGCATCGCAATACCTCGGGAAGCCAGTAAACAGTACGAAGACATCGCTGTTTGACGTCCAGGATACACGTTTACTACATTCCACTCAACGGCAGCAAGACCAATCACCAACAGAGTATTACGGTCTATAACATTGTGAGGAGCCTACTTCCGGATTGGGTTTTCCCGGCGGATAAAGCGACTTTTTCATTACCATGGGCTGCCAGGTGTCGCTGTTCAGACCGTAGGTTGAAGCCAAGGGGCACAGAGAATGATAGTGGTTATAGCTAGCATTACCTCTGGCTACAGTATCGTAGAGAAGATCTCGGCTTTTTAAACAAGCCGGGTTGTATTAACGTCCCATAACACGTGAGCAAGAGATGCGAATATTTGTCTCTGGTATCGACCTTGGCCTTGGGTCTAGGAGGTCCAAGAAAGCGTTTTGGCTACTACAGCCAGATGGGACGGGCAGATCAAGAGAGTTATTATGGGAAAGGAAGTTACGACGCTACCGAATATCTCTTCGCCCGAGAAGGTAAGAGACTCTAGACATACCTTAACCATCTATTGTGCTTGAATTTCTCACACAATCAACTTGATTGCCCTAAATCACTTGTACAACTAGTTCGATTGTGCGAGAATGTTAGGATAATACCGTATCTTCAAGTAATAACGGCTTCTCTTACATTCTGGTAGCTATAATATTCGACTCTATCATTACGTGGTGTTCAGGGCAGCCTCATCGAAGTAGTATGACCAGGAGTCTGTGAAGAGTTGAAAGTATTACTCTACAGATCGGAGAACTGTTGTCAGCTAATATGCTGACATGGTCTTTCTACCACTTTACCATGAAACAGGTAGTACAAAGGAGCAGGTTTTATATATATATAGTCCATAGTTTCCTACTTCTTACTTTTAGAAGTAACTTGTTTAATATAATTCTTATTAGTACTTTAAATCTAGTATTCTAGGTACTCCACTTATATATCGTTAATAGGTTCTAAGCCCGGAATACTTGCCTAGGTTCTTAATTATCTATTTGTTTATATATATTAAAAAGAGAGTATTTATACGACTCGCTAAGATAATTTATATCTAAACTAAGAGAAAGTTTAATAGATCCTCTACAAGAAATAAGTAAGAATCCGAACGTACTAGATATAAGCTTAAAAAGTAATAGCGAAAGTAACTAAATAGTTATTTATTCGCCTATATAAGAAGGAGGAGTGTTTATACCTTTAATTTAAGATCTTCTCTCTATAGTCGAACGATCTAGGGTAATACGACTAAGAATCGTAAACCTAGTAGACGAGATCTACTAAGGAATTAAAGACTTAGAATATTAAATTCAATAAGACCTAAATATAATAAATTCTAATTCTAATTTAAGCCTATCCTTACTACTAGATTCTTCTCCCGGATCTCTAGGCCCGAGTATAAACCTATCTAATAGTATAGCTTTTATATCCTCTATAGAGAATAGTACGAGTTTTATATTTACTAATAAGACTAAGCTTAAAGGAGAGTCTAATTATATAAAATAGAGAAAGTTATTAGAGTACTTATTAGAATAACTTAATATTAAGGAAGTAATCTACCCAGATTATATAGCTCCTCGAATAGTTCTTAAAATTATACTAATTAATTCGACTAAGATATATACTTAGGATAAAACTAATACTTAAATAAAATATAAAATTAACAATACTTTAACTATATAAGCTATCTAATCCAATTATATTAGAAATATGTAACGAATACTCAAACTGGCTAACTAAACTTGGCTGGGTGTTCGCTGGTTGGTATGCTATGATAAGAAGAAGACTATCGGGTTGTTCACTTGGAAGTGAACTCGTTACTCGTATCAAAGATGTCAAACTAATATGATAAGATTGATAACTAAGTTGAGCACGAAGCTCCTATCTAATGGCAGACGTGCCAGTCTTATATAGAACCTTCGTTCTCTCGATGTTCGCTCGTTCGACAATCGAACTGGCTAACTTCGCCTGTTCGCCCGGCTGACTGGCGAACTCCTAATATCACGTGATAACAACACAGAGAAATCCCTGGATCGCTTAGCTACTCCAAACGATCCCTATTTGCTATAAGAAACCTGGATGTCACGAATCACGTGTTGGCATGTGATAAGCAAAGACCAGGCGGCGTCCTGACAGGTTAAGCACCAGCAACACACTCTTATAGCAAATAGGGATGCTTAGGCTAGCTAAGCGATCCAGGGATTTCATCTGATAGAAGTCATGTGACCGTCATTGATCATTGGTGATCAACTGAGCAACGCTGAGCTGGATCAGTGGGATCAGGGTGATCATAATGATCAACGAGCAAGAAGGTTCTATATAAGACTGGCACGTCTGCCATTAGATAGGAGCTTCGTGCTCAACTTAGTTATCAATCTTATCATATTAGTTTGACATCTTTGATACGAGTAACGAGTTCACTTCCAAGTGAACAACCCGATAGTCTTCTTCTTATCATAGCATACCAACCAGCGAACACCCAGCCAAGTTTAGTTAGCCAGTTTGAGTATTCGTTACAACTAGGTTTATAGTCGTAGATAGATTAACAAAGGCCCTAGACAAAGTAAAGTTTAAAAGGTTCTTAGAGTTGTTAAATATAAAGGAATTACCCTCGAAACTAATCGATTAAACCTAATTACAATAATAGAAAAGGGGTATGTTGTTAGCTAATATACTAACATGGTCTTTCTATTACTCTACTATGAAACAGGTAGTACAAAGGAGTAGGTTTTATATATATATAGTCCATAGTTTCCTGCTTCTCACTTTTAGAAGTAACTTGTTTAATATAATTCTTATTAGTACTTCAAACCTGGCATTCCAGGCACTCCACTTATATATCGTCAACAAGAACTATTTGTAATTATAAGGCTCGACTAGTACTCTTGTTTTACTTACTCTCGGGGTCGATTTCTATATGCCAAAAGTGTAACACGATAGTAAAGCGTCCACGATCTCATATTACTTCTTTGTCAAGTGCTTTAGAAATCAAGGTATCTCACTTTAATAAGTCGCCCAGGTCGTGGGGGTTGAATTCGAGAGTGGTATAAATGCATCATGGTGATTTATGCTTACAGTAAGACTTTTGCCTCAATATCTCCCGACAACTGTTCAGGGAAAAGATAGATATCTGTTCATAAATATTTTTCGATATTTGTAATCTAAAGTATGTATATACACATCGAACCCCTTGGGACTAATTAGAAAACCACTATCTATCGAGCATTTATCAACTTATTGGGATATCAAGTATTAACAGTAAATCCAAAAAACGCTTTTATTCTTCAATAATGTCCACTTACAGGGGGCCGCGGCTTGCTAGACAGAGGAATAGGAGGTGGAGCACCTTCCTGCGGAGAAGCAGCTACAGGCGAACCAGCTAATCCAACCTTCTTCTTAGGAGGTGGAGGTGGAGGTTTTTTCTTAGCTATACCAGCTGGAGGTCCAACGCCTTCATTCTGCGTTTCCGGTGCCATTGGCGGTGGTGGTTCTGTAGTTCTTATTCCTCCAGCCCCCGCTCCGAGTGCTCCAACTTTATCAGCAACACCGTATTTGGTGTTCAATTTACTGGCCGACTGCCATCCAGATTTGACTTGTTCACCATGTCTTTCCCTAAAGTTATTTGCTGTTCCAGCAGCTGTTTTGGCATCACTTAATGACACGGACGAAGGGTCCTTTCGAAATGAAGCTGCTGTTCTTAAGGCAGCTTGCTTCTCAGCGAAGGTTGTTCCTTCACTTGGAGCCTCTGCTTTTGGTTGGCTCGAGAGCCGCGAAAATCGAGACTGAAGCTCATTTATGGTAGAGTTATTGACCGGAGTGTTTGTAGGAGAAGTCGCAGGGCTTTGAGTACGTGCCGGAGGAGCCGGTGGAGGTAATACCTGTCTGCCTCCTCCAATACCAAATCCCGGAACTGATATACCAGCAGAAGACAAGTTATTCAACGAACTTTGATTGAGGATTCCTCGGTGTGAATCGGGCTCTCGCGGAGCTTCGCGGGTTCCTGAAGAGGGCGCAGGAGCAGAATTCTGTCTTGGTGGTAATCGTAGAGGTAGTCCTGGTGGTTTAGGCATATTTCCCGGGATAGCTGGAGGTTCCCGACTACCAGATACATCTCTGCGACCTGGCGGAGGCGGCAGATGTGAGGTAGATAAACCTGTCGTATCCATTCGATATGGAACTGGCGGGGGCTTCGTATTCCTCTCTTCTTCTCTTTGTGCTTCCTCCTCTTCCCTCCTTGTATATTCGATCTCCTGTCGTGTTGATGGTGCCCCCGACCCTTCTTCCCGCGTACCTCCATAACGATTGACGTGCTTCGGAGGAGGTGCAAATGTAGATGGATCTCTCAGAGTATGTAGAGGGGGTGCAGAGCGTTCGTCTGAGCTCGATCCTTTTCCTTTGCCCATCCATCCAGCTACTGGATTCTTGTCCCCGAGCTTGTCCCCAAGCCAAGAGGAATCTTTGGATCCTGATGACTTGGGCGCGTCATCTTTCTTCAACTTTGCTTTAGCTCGATCTCTGATCCCTAGCCCAGTAATTGACGACATTACGAAATAATCGAGGGGCTCAGTTGACAGTTGACTGAGAGCAGGAGTTTGAGTAGACAATTGAAGGAGTCCTAGGTATGGATTTATGCCGAACTAGAGCCGCAAGTAATTAAAAGAGACTGGACTGAGGTCTCCTTTACAGGAAGAATTGAAAGCGTATACGAGTAGATATTTGCTGATTAAACATTGTAAAGTAGAAATCTCACTGATTCCATGAAATATATACAGGAAATTGAAGGCTTGGTTCATTTGACGGTCTAGAAATCATTTGGAGACTCAGCTGGGAATACTCCACTGACTCCACCTGCCGCTTTTATTACCTTATCTGACCCGTACATTCCGCAACCCCACTGTTCATCACAACCCTTTTGAGATATCTCATCCCACCAACTTCAGGACTCTCTATAACACTTCCAGAAGCAAAAACAAACATCCCTTGAGCTTAATACGGAGCCAAAAGCAGCAAAAAACAACATCTCGACCCTGGGAAGATTCGAACTCCCAATCTTTGCAGGTATCCTCGATAGAACCGAAATGCAACGCCTTAACCATTAGGCCACAAGGCCATTCAACTCTTTGTTGATTGACGAAAGGTTGAGGTCTTATTCAGATATGTTATCACATGTACATTCACATGTTTTCTTCTGGTACTGCCCCGCTACGATGATTCTCCATACCAGGATTCCCAGGGTTCCAGTTGGAGCGGGAACGGCAACGGACTTTGAAACCCGATGTTTTGCCAGTTGGAGGAGATAAGCTATCGAAATATTTACTTGGACACACTGCGACAACCGTTTGAAACCATAATATGCCTGTGTAGCACAGGTACTCTGTTCTACTGAGGAGAGCCACCACTTCTTTGCCTTCTTCTGCAGTCATCGCCAAACTTCTCAATTCACACTCCCTTCTCCCTCATTAACCCAGGCGCAATGTCAAGCTCAATTCCTGGTCGGCGAGAGCTCCCGGCGTCTCAGTACGACCTTAGTACCTACTGGGGAAGAGTCAGACACTCCGCAGATATTTCAGATCCCAGGTGAGGAGGAATTGTTCTGTTGCTTTTCAAAGAAAACAAAAGGTGGTTCACACACTTCTGTTTTGCACATTTCACTCATTCTTGCGCAACGTAGAACTGACAAACAATAGAACTCTACTGGTCAACTCAGCTGGTTTGGAGCATGCGAAGTCATTGATTGCGGCATATAAGGAAGGGAAGGTATCTGAGATGGATGGAGAGTTATGGAAGGCGAAGAAGGTTGTTGATTCAACGCTACATCCAGGTTCGTATGGAGGGGTATATGGGGAAGCTTGAACAAGGGCTGATTTCATTAGACACGGGTGAACCAGTTTTGCTCCCATTTCGAATGTCATGTTTCGTCATTTCCAATCTGGTTGTCACAGCGGGCATGCTCACACCTGGTCTTGGTGTAAGTAACAATTCAATTAAACCCCATGCTCTAGCTAACCAAACTTTAGACAACTGGAACTCTTCTCTGGCAAATCACCAATCAATCGCTTAATGTCGCAATCAACAACGCAAATGCAAACAAATCAACACCTCTTTCCGTTTCCAAAATCGCACAATCCTACTTCCTCGCAGTTGGCGCATCCTGCTCCGTAGCACTTGGACTCAATGCTCTCGTCCCAAGATTAAAGCGCGTCAGTCCAGCCACAAAGATAATTCTCACAAGATTGGTACCATTTGCAGCTGTTGCGAGCGCAGGAGCTTTGAATGTATTCCTGATGCGAGGAGAGGAGATTCGAAAGGGCATTGATGTCTATCCAGTCCTCTCAGAAGCGGATAAGCTCAAGTTGGCACAAGAGGGAAAATCCGAGTCTTCGGTAGAATCATTGGGAAAGAGCAAGAAGGCTGCTACAATTGCTGTAGCCGAAACAGCTATAAGCAGAGTCTTAAATAGTTCTCCAATCATGGTCATTCCACCCTTGATTCTTGTTCGCCTTCAAAAGCAGGAGTGGCTCAAGCGAAACCCAAGATTTACTCTCCCTGTTAATCTTGGCTTGATCTTGACTACGAGTTTGTTCGCTCTGCCTTTGGCTTTGGCCGCGTTCCCTCAGATTCAAAGTGTGGATGCTTCGAGCCTTGAAGAGGAGTTCTGGGGTAAAGGTGGTGAGAACGGAAAGGTTGTTTTCAACAGAGGAATCTGATGAATCAAAATTATTCGAATGTTTCTCATGAGATCTGTCACAGCATGTCACCAACTTGAAATGTTCTTCTACGCCATCTTAGTTTCAATACTAATTGCCGGTAGTTGAGATGGAGAGTGGATAGACATAGAAGATCATGGTGCTATCTTAGAAGGCTGGTAGAATGACGGATGATACCATTTCAAGATACATTAGATAGAACTTTGAAACGGTCACTTCGTGATGCCATGTTGTACGTCTAATTTAAAGTGACGATTCTGCCTAAAAACATTTTTTGTAAGAGCAGCAGGCTTGAGAATCAGTGGTATTTGCTCTCCTTTTTCAACTTCGGAAAGTGTAATTTGGCCTCCTGAAGAATGGAAGGAGAAGGTTGAAAGTAAACAGAGAACGTCACTCTCATCGCCTCTCATCACCCAGCGTAAAACATTATAGGGTCAAGGAAGGGAAGGGTAGGTGAGTTGTATCCATCAAAGTCCCAGTAAGAAAAGGTTGCTAACAGAATCACTCGGACCTGTCTCTCGCCAATAATGGTTCGTAACGGAAGACCAAAGCGATTGTGTAAAACTATGAATGACTTTTATAATTACAGCCAATTTTCACAGCTCTGTACTCTAAACTCAAATGCAACGAAACTAGATCTAGATTGAAAGCACAAAACTATTAAAAACACACCATTCATCCAGCCTCTCTCGCAAAAGGCCACAATCTACAACACCTCAAACTCCCAATAATGCTTCAAGATCTAGAAAGAAATACCAAACCATGCAACCATGCCTCAATTCTCTCATATTCAACCTCTACCCACAACCCATCACCACCCTACAAAATAGCAATAACCACCAACCCAACAAGCAAACTCCAGACCCTTACCACATTCCCACCAGCACCACCAGTAAACTCTGCCGGAGAAGCAGTCCCAGTTACAGAAGGAACAACAGCCGTACTCAAAGTGGCGTTTGATCCAGTCGGCGTTGGAGAGGCTGTAATGGAGGAGCGGGAGGCGTAACAGGCTGCTTGGTATTGGGGTGGGAGAGAGGCACAGTCTCCTCCGATCAAAGTTGGTGTTGATGTTGCAGAGGCCCGGCGTTCACATTCTACTCGGTATTCTGGGGCAACACCTGCGCACCCCCCGATGAGAGATGGAGTCGCTGTTGCATGAGCTCTACGTTCGCATTCTGCCCGGTACTCTGGGGCTACACCTGCGCATCCACCGATGAGATGTCTGCGTTCGCATTCTGCTCTGTACTCTGGGGCAACACCTGCGCACCCACCGATGAGAGGAGTGGCTGTTGCAGAGGCTCTGCGCTCGCATTCTTCTCGGTACTCTGGGGCTACACCTGCACATCCACCAATCAGGGTTGGTGTTGGGATAGGAGCAGTTGTTGAGGCGCGAGATGCATAGCACTCTGCTTGGTATGCTGGTGGAAGAGAAGCACAGTCTCCTCCGACTAGTTCTTGGGCTTGGGTACTGGCGATTGCCAAAGCGAGGGTGATGAGTGAGCTCTTCATGTTGATTTGGTTTGGAGGTATATCTTGGGAAAGAAATAGATAGCGAGTGTTATAACGAAAAGAAGCGAGACTTGAACTTGATTTAGTAGAGAAGGAGAAAGTTGAAATAGGACGGAAAAACTAAGAGGCTGTTGTATAATGGAGAATGGAATACTGAAATCAAGAGACTGGGAGACTTATATACTTGGAATGCTGCAATCTCCACCACGAACTCAGCATTGCGAGTGGAGGCGTCGTGAAGCTAAGGTCGGCGAGTCTCAGACACGTATTCGTGCGGTCCGGAACGACCCGACATTCCTACGACCAATACCGTGAATTTCAGTAGATAGTAATCGGCGACATCAAATTCAGTTTGTATATGCAGGAAACGCGGTGGTTGTGGCTTGCGCAGAAGAAATAATCAAGCTTGGCACTTGGGTGCAGACTGTTGCTTCGTATCGTATCGTAACGTATCGTATGTACTGTGATTGTCTTTCTTCTACACCACATGCATATCAAAGTAGATTGAGTTGAAGCCCATGCGCTTCGTTGGATTTTGAATTTTGCTGGAGTACTTTGCGTGTCAAATATTTTTCATGCTGTCCATTTCTCGAGGTAACGGTCTGAAATCCACGATGTCAACAGAAGACCCAAACGCCCTAGAAAAATATTAGGGGAAAGAGAAAAGCAAAAGTAAACACATGGGTAATTACTTGAACCTTTTCTGCGTCGCCGGATGCTATTCAGCTGCTTACAAGTTGTCAATGAGGAAGCTACACAGTCAGCATTGTGACAGACGAAGTGTTCATCAAGCGGCTGATGCAACTTGATTGGACATTCCCCGTTACTATCCAATTTAAGCGAGCCCTCAGCCCAAACTCGGAGAACCCGTTACATAATCTGGCTGACCTTATCATAGAGTTATCAGCCTTTCGGCTTACGGCAAAGAAAGGAATTCGAGAAGCGAGTGCTTGTCTGTAGAATGAAAGTCAGTGGGAATGTATGTACCAATGAAGGACTTTGCAAAAGGCTATTTGGGTTGCAATTGATGAGGTTGATATTCCTGTTGAATGGGTACACCAGGGTACATACTCTTCTAATTGGAGAGATTTCATCGGGCTTCTGAGGCTATAATGTGCGAATTTCGTTATATAGCTTAGAAGTAAGAACAACAAGATACGGATGTACAAAATTGCAGGACAATGACATGAAGATGTACTGGGTGACTCGGCAGGTAGCCTGAAGAATATACTTTAATTTTGGTGCATTTGTACATAATATTGATGACGAAAAGTTAGCATATCTCCGTGCCTCTTAACTTCTCATGTTTATCACCTACCACAGCAGTCACTTTAGCCGACTCATTCGCTTTCCAGTGAAGTGGACGCGTGTATCCCAGGCATCTAGACTAAAGTCATTCTGACCTCTCTTCCCTAACACAAGAGATGAATCCTTACTGCGTTCTGCCTCATCCCAATAAGATGTACAGACATCATACTCTCCAAAAGCATCACAGTCCCAATATAACTCGTTTACTTCTTGTAGGAGGCCTCGGGTTCGGAAAACGCCAGCTTTGGAATGCGACATTGACAATCTCTCGGTTTCTAGGATTGGATGAAACTTTAAATAAAAACCGTCCGTATCACAAAGAAGGAAAGAAACCTTGAACAGGAAGAGAAAAAAAAATCAGCCCCAAAAATTGGAATTGGATGGTATGCTTTGGGGAACCTGGAGCTACAGGCAAATGAATACCTAGTAGTCAACTTGTAAAGTAATCTTTGATTTGCGGCTAGTGCCATTGGACCTGGGTTAACAAAATTCTGACGTGCCTTGGGTTCCGCCAATGAGAGTGTTGAGAAATGAGGAGGCGCGTCTCGCATTCTTCGACAAACCGCAAACCTGTCAAAATAAAAGATTTTCCCCCACAAGTCATTTTTCGTCCACCAAAAAATGGCAAAAGCAAATGATTGATGCGCTATTGCTCGATCGCCGAAACATTGACCCTTAAGGTGTGATCACGCTTGTAGGGTATAGATGGGGGATTGAGAATCGGGCACTGACAAGCTTAAACATACGGCAGCTTTTACCACTAGACCACGAGGCTCCTGTTAGCTACTAAGTGATAGGCGGGTCTCTTAATTATTGACAAAACTGGCAGCGATAGAAAAGATGGCTAGGAGTGGGTGTGGACATATAAAACGGTGGGTGACGGTGACTTCTCCCAACCGCCCATTTTCACCCTTCAAGCTCCCGCTATGTTAAATGGAAAATGTAGTACCATCAGCTCTGGATCTGAGAATTTTTGGAAATGGTACTTAGTCAGACTGCATCATATCTGCAGAATTTCAAAAGTTGACGAGCATCCTCTCATGCAAGTGCCCAAGCATGCGATTTAAGCAACGTTTGACAACCCCAACTATCATGGTTGATTGCGCTTGTGCCATCATGGCCTTGCCGACCAGGAAACAGTTTGACTCTCTGACTAAATTAGCCTATGTTGTCCTCAAGTGATATGCACAGGTCGAGATTCCGCACATGCGCTCAGTAAAATTCAATGGCATCGGTGTGGCATCCCATGACCACAGTTCAAACTATAAAACTGCTTACACAATTGAAAGTAGCACGAGACTCATTTGTGTTTTGTTGCCAGGTTTTGACATCGAATTCTGAGTATACTATAAAATGTTAGCCCTGCTTTCTATATAGGAGAGACCACTCAATTGCCGTCACTTTCGCCAACAGAGTATCGCAGCATATGTTGCACTTTGTATTCACTTAATAGGATTCAAGAAGTATGACAAATGTTCAGTCTTCTCTAGATGAATCAATCCTCATTGATACAGTTGCTGCTGTAGTCGAGCTTGTCGATGGCCTTGCTGATTTGCCTACCAACCCGCCATCGCTGTATATTGATCTCGAAGGGGTGAATTTGTCTCGCTTTGGTACAATATCAATACTTCAAATTCTGGTTCTTCCAACAAAAACTACCTATCTCCTCGATATTCATACCCTAGGAGCATTGGCTATCTGTACTTCCGGAAAGACCGGCAAGACACTCAAGTCTGTCTTAGAGTCGGCAAAAATTCCGAAAGTCATCTTTGATGTTCGTCGTGACTCAGACGCACTGCATGCTCACTTTGCAATCAAAGTGGATGGAGTCCATGACCTTCAACTCATGGAACTTTCTACTCGGCCGGCGTACAGGAAACGTCATGTGAGCGGACTGGCAAAATGCGTCGAAATGGATATTGGATTGAGCGAAGCCGACAAGAAGATGTGGAAAGAAATCAAAGAGAGAGGCAGGAATCTTTTTGCACCTCAACGCGGTGGTAGCTATGAGGTATTCAACACACGGACGGCCCTTACCAGATATTGTCAGGTTGTATTGTATACATGATGTTCGTTATATACCGATGCTTTGGGCCTTGTACGAAAGTCGCATGACTCCGGCCTGGAAAGCAAAAGTCAAAGAGGAGATCGCTGCAAGGATTGCCTTATCACAGTCTGAGAATTGGATTTAGAACGAAAAAGATATGGCTCAGGGACCATTGGGTTGGATATAAGATCAGGTCGAGCGGAGTTTACTCTGGCTGGGAGCGTATTTACCGTGGGATGTTAGGTATCTCGTATCTGTTCTTGTCAGTTTAACCAAATTTGCTTCCCATTCTGTGCAAGGGGTTCTCCTTTATGGTAGAAGATTTGTGATGAAAAGCTGAATCATGTTTCATTATTCACTCTCCCAGTATCTCCCCCAGACCCCCAAGTCTTGGCGAATTAGATTACGAGCGCTCCATTTCCCGAGCACTTGTGTTGGTGGTGTAGTAGATCGGTCTTCATGGAGTATCTTCCCAACATATGCGACTTCTTCCTATCAGAGTAGTTGGGCATATATCGTGTATGTGTCGTGTATGGATGAAGAGGAATGTGATTCCCCACTTATTATCGGGAGGCGATGTGCTTCTCCAAAGTGGGGTTGACCATCACGTGCACTCGAGTAAGTTGTAGGGTACAGTACCTGGTTTTAACAACTGCTCATAACCACCGAGAACCTACGATATCTAACCTAACGAACCCCCTATTGAAGTAGACATAAATTTCAACACTCATAATGGCTCCATCAGCAATTCCCACGACTATAGCGGGCGACAAGCCTTCTGAGAACCCAGCAGCTGCAACGTTCGATGCCAAATCCGCGATCTTCAACACTAAAGGTACGGACATGAAGTCCATGGCTGTCGGTGCAGTAAAGAAAAATGGAGAGAGCGCTGTTCCAGAAATTCCAAATTTCAAAACGAAGGAAGAAGAACAGAAATACTGCAAAGAGCATCTCGCTTGTGCCTTCAGGGTATTTGCTGCCAACGGATTCGATGAAGGTGTAGCTGGACACATGTCCCTTCGAGATCCCATCAATCCCCATTACTTCTGGATCAACCCGTATGTAAATCATCGGAACAACTTCCCCTGAGTTCTTTCCCTGACGAATTGCTAGATATTGTATGCACTTTGAAGACGTCACAGTCTCGGATCTTGTGTGTGTGAATGAAAATGCGGAAGTCATTGAGGGAGACCACGCCATCAATGCTGCTGGATTTTCCATTCATTCTGAAATCCACAAAGCACATCCTTGGATCAACGCTGTATGCCATGCACATTCAATTGCGGGAAAAGCCTACAGCGTCTTCGGAAAACCACTTCCGCCTATCATGCAAGATTCCCTGCGATTTTACGGCACCCACGTTGTCAACCCCGATTATGGTGGAGTTGTGCTTTCTTCTGAAGAGGGAAAAGCTATTGCCGCTGTCCTAAGACCACAAGATAAAGTCGCAATTCTCCAAAATCATGGTTTGCTGTCGGTTGGTGAGACGATTGACGAAGCTGCCTATTGGTTTCTGTGTTTCGACAAGTGTTGTCGGGCACAATTGATGATTGATGCTGCGGCAGCAGGAACAGGTAATCAACCCAGAGAGGTTGATCATAAGACTGCGTTTTTCACTGAGCAACGCATTGGGACGAGACACAGAGGATGGCTCAACTTTCAGCCATACTACACTAACATGCTTAGAAAGACCAAGGGGGACTTCTTGAATTAGCAAGGACGTCTCACGGGGATTGTATGTAAATTATCTTCTTTCAACATCGCGTGTTTGAACTTGTCAAACGGCTTCTTGCTTGATTTGATTAGTGAGGCAAAGACTCACTTGTTCAGATACGGTATTAGTGGTTGGCATCGGTAGCTTTCTTACTTAACGTAAAGTACCCTTTGGCAAGCTTTAACACGTGAAATACAAGAGACGTTGTTATTACGCTATATAGCATGTCCTAGTAGGAGCACGGATCTATAGGCTACTAATCCATATGTGTTAAGAGAGTTTTAACCTTTAAGGATATGTAAACAGTATCTAATACAGACAAGAATTGACTAGTCTCTATATACCCGGTGTATATAAACTTGATATAATAAACGGCAAAAGACAAAAATACCACCTATGTGTCATGTCACTGGCTTACTAGTAAAATTACTAGCAAAGTAATGTCTATATCATCGGTGGCATTTTTGTTAGTATAGCGATTTTGTTTCTTCATCAAATTTTATAAGCAAGGTACTACAAAAATAATGAAAAAAGTTTAATTCTAAAAAGAACTCTACTCTCCTCGAATCCTTTTAATTACTCGGGGAATACTACGAATTCCTATTCTATAACGTCTAAGAATATAAGGTAAAAGTAGAACTAGGGGACTTAAATAATATAAACAATAATAAGGTTGTTACAAGGATAGAAGGAGAGATTAACCCTATTTTATCTTGTTTTAGAGGTACGTATAATAATATAATTAACGATCCTAATAAGTCGAATTAGGAGAGTATTATTTTAGTAGACTTAATTAGAGAGAATATAGATACTACATACTTTTAAGGTAGTTTATTATCAAAATGTTCTCTTATATATATAAATTTTAGTATGGTTTACTAATAAATTTAATGTTCTGAGGAAATACTACTGTACGATACGGCGCACTTGCTTCCACTGACCTTAAACTATAGCGCAGAGGAAAGACGCACTGACTATCATATTCTCTCTGGAATTCCAAATTCCATTCTATAGAACCTCTGGAGTATTTCATACTGGAATGATATATGGAAACTCCATGGAATCGGGTTTCGAATGCCAAACGCTGTCGATGAATACAAGACTCGTTTACGCTAAACACAGTTGCAATTAGTGCAGTGGCCTACGGTAAAATAAATGATTTGCGTAGCCTTTCCCACGCCCCAAGAAATCTTTTGGAAATAAGTTGGTTTTTAAATTCTATCCTCTAAAATAGTCATATACAAATACTGTATAAAACATTGTTGTGTGGAAGGAAGGCACAGGTTAACCGTGACATTGTAGATAAAAGCCAAAGTGCCAAATATAGAACAATACGCCTCTCTTTCAAATTGTGAATGTCCCCGTCTCCCACAGACACCCAGCGATACGCTGGTAACCTCGATCTTCCAATGCAAGCGCTTGGTTTAATGTCGAAACAGATGCTTCCGTCGATTTCCGTTCGCTCGCGGCCGCTCTGCAGGTTGAATGCAATTGGAAAAGATGAAGTGAACGTTTTCGAGATATTGTCTTTCGTTGCGTTGCGACGGGAACCGTTGGTATAGAGGTTAGGAGGCTTATTTAGGGGCACATTTAAGTGTTCCAATCCCGCAAAAGGAGGTGTTGTTTGGGCTGCTAGTGGTGGTGGTGACGGCTCGTGGAGTGATAAAGTCATCAACAGGTTTCTCGCGCAATACACACTATCGAGAAGAATAAGTGCGTATACAATACTTAGTCAATTCTTATCTATGCCCATGCGGTACTTACGCAGTAGGTCTTTAGTCCATTTGCTTCGCAGCCTCCATTTCCGGTTGCTCAGTTATTGCAGTACCACTGTTCTGCCGCCGTTGCGGTCATGTGTAACGATAACTGATCCGGCTAACTGAAGCTTGACTGTTGTTCGCTGGTTGGTATGCTATGATAAGAAGAAGACTATCGGGTTGTTCACTTGGAAGTGAACTCGTTACTTGTATCAAAGATGTCAAACTAATATGATAAGATTGATAACTAAGTTGAGCACGAAGCTCCTATCTAATGGCAGACGTGCCAGTCTTATATAGAACCTTCGTCCTCTCCTGGATCCATCCGGGTCCATCACGTGACAGTAACCAATGGAAATCCTTGGATCGCTTAGCTACTCTAAGCGATCCCTATTATAAGAAACCTGGGTGTGCACTGTCGAGGGTTGCGCCTCCTATTATGACATGTATCACGTGGACACGTGATTCGTGACATCATGCTCAAGGCGAGAATAAGGATAAATCTCATGTTGAAAGTAAGTTGAAATAGATAACGTAGTCCACAAGCGAGTTGGATTCCCAAGCGAAATGGATTTTTTTTCTTGGCATTTTATAAATTCTTAAATATCTCACGACACAATTAATTAAATTAATTACAGTATTCAGAATCGGAATCCTCAAATATTTCTTCTCCTTTTTGACAAGTTCGTATGTTATGGCCATGTTTCCCACATAGTCCACAGCGCCGGCGAGGTACTAGACTCGGGCTCGTACAATTACTATTTTCTACTAAAACCACTTGTTCTTGCGAATCAACATTACTAAGGACCCCTAAATCTTGCGCATCTTGGAGAGTAAGTGATCCTCCTTCCTGTAATCGGCGCTTTTTCGTACGACGACGCCGACTAAGTTGATCATTTGCTGTACGAAGTGTAGCATTCTCAGCTCGTAATAAAGCTACCTCAGTGATTGCACGCTGTGCACCCTTTGCAAGCTGGTCTAGGCCATATAGAATCTGGGTCGGAGAACTATCTTGGTGTCGTACGACCTTGTTTTGTATATATGACGTCTGGGAATATGCCTCTGTTATGTTATTTGGGGTCTTTGGTTCCCAAATAGCTAGGAGGCTTGTTGAGGTAGATGGACGTGACGGAGTCCTTGGACGTATATCAAGCTGTGAAATCACAGAATCTGGGTCGTACGGCACTAAGCCAGATCCTCGAAATCCTCCTCGAATGTTTGATTCAGTCATTGTCGTACGAAAGGCAGTATAGAATGTTGATAAGAAATCCTCCTTAGAAACATATGTAATGTGGAGTCGCATTAATTTCTCAAGTTCAGCACCGTACGACCTTTTTGACGCTCGAAAACATCCTACATCGAGTGGCTGGAGTCTATGAGAGGAATGAGCTGGCATGCAAAGAGTAATAATGTTATTACTCTTACAAAAAAGCTCAAAATCGACTGAGTGGTGGCTTTCATGGCCATCAAGCACAAGCAGCCGGTGAATGCCCTTCGTACGAAGCTTTGTATGCCGATCGAAATGAAAAATCCAATCTAGGGCTCGCTCATTTGTTGTCCAGCCATTTGTAGTTACAGCAATTACCCAGTCGCGTGGTAATTGGCTGTTTTCGTACCAGGAGGAGAGGTGGTTCTTCCCCGCCAAAATGATATATGGAGGCACTACAAAGCCGTACGACCCAACACCTTGAATTACTGTTGCCCATTCCCGGTTTCCTTGCTGTACTGTACGAGGCCGAGAAAGCCTTTCGGTACTTGTAACAACCATTTCTGATGTAATTTGGCCCATACAAAACCCAGTCTCGTCAAAGTTATAAATATCCTCCTCCTGAATCCCATATTTGTCAATTATATTTCGTACGAGGCGAAACCACGCGTTATACGCGTCTGGATTTTCGCATTGGACTCTTTGATAATCAATCCTTCGATTAAAACGCGTCCTAAGTTCAGGTTGTCGTCGTACGAAGTTCGAAGTCCAGTTCTTGCCAACGCGTCCTGCACCCCGCTCCGAGAGGATACGATTCGCCATATCTTCAACACAACGTACTCGTGGGGGAAATGATCGAGAATCTAGGTCGAGAATATGTCGTACGATAACTATTTCTTCAATCTCTGTAAGTTTTCGAGATTTAGCGATAGAATCTTGTCGTGATAATATTCCATGAGTTCGATTAAGCAATGTCGTATAAGGTACTTTATAGATCCGCGCAACCTTCTTAACTTTTAAATGTGGGTTCGTACGAAGCGTATTTAACGCAAGAATCATATCAGACTCTGTCCAATGCTTAACCATTTTGTTTGTTAAGAAAAAACGCGCTCTGAATAAGTTTGTGGAGTGCCAAGAAAAAAACTCCATTTCGCTTGGGAACCCAACTCGCTTGTGGACTGCGTTAGTCTATAGTATATAAAGGGGATCGGCGTGAGTGGAATGAGAGGTACGATAGGTGGGTACGATATATAATTGAGAATTCAATTCATTTCTAGTACAAAGACATGCTCCTTATATAGACGGAAAGCAACTTCTAGTTTGTACTAATTTAAGACGCTGGTAGGTATACGAACCTGATTACACGTAGTTTAGCCCTTGCGGATGAAACTCCAAGAGCTCAACCCTTACAGCCGAAACTTGAAACTACCGTGGTACTTCGTCCCAGACATATTAATTGTAAATTTTACGGGGGGTTTAACCCTGTTCTCCACTAAAGCCACCCTAGCAAACCTACTATTAATATGCCTGGGACGAAGTAAATTTATGTTAACAAATACGCTAAGGTAGCAGAGTGGAGTAACAGAAGTTGTCAAGAATACTTTGGAGCCATTCGTAAGAGAGGTTTTCACGGGTCCCGAGGTAAGGTCTGACAACGAGAAGTTTTCGCTCATTACAGTGTACAATTTTCTAACTATGAGATGAGGAAATTCTAAATAATAGGAGCCTCTTTTCTCATGCGTAGAAGATTTTAATAAGCGGGAGGGTCGGACCTTTCTACTTTGTGTCCTGTAGAAAGCTGTTCTCTAAGCCAATTGCTATACGGCTTTGACAATTTGCTAAACGGCTTTGAAGTGACATGGTCCCCCAGCTAATTTACAGTGGGTAGCTAGGTACCTGTAAAGTTGGTTCTTGTTTACATAAAGGAAAATAATTCGGTTAACCCGTGACCGTATCAAGTCTTACACCTCGTCGTCGTACCCTCGCCGTCGTATATCCTATCTACGAGTACCCTTACTATCGCTATCATATCGCAATTACACCCTGATAAATACGATAAGGCTCCCGTGCTTTCGACTACTCTAGGACCCTTAATACCCGAATACTTAGCTAGTTGACACTATGATTCCTTCGAATAAAATATCTTCTATGTACAAAACACTAAAATTAATAAGCATATAGCATTTGGCGACGGCAAGGTGGCGACGACGACGAACCTGGCATATTTCTCTAGGTACCTGTAAAGTTGGTTCTTGTTTACATAAAGGAAAATAATTCGGTTAACCCGTGACCGTATCAAGTCTTACACCTCGTCGTCGTACCCTCGCCGTCGTATATCCTATCTACGAGTACCCTTACTATCGCTATCATATCGCAATTACACCCTGATAAATACGATAAGGCTCCCGTGCTTTCGACTACTCTAGGACCCTTAATACCCGAATACTTAGCTAGTTGACACTATGATTCCTTCGAATAAAATATCTTCTATGTACAAAACACTAAAATTAATAAGCATATAGCATTTGGCGACGGCAAGGTGGCGACGACGACGAACCTGGCATATTTCTCCGCACTAACCTGGGGGGGCTTTTCAGGTACCTAGTAACCCACCGTAATCTGGCTGGGGGTCCTGGTCACTTCAAAGCCGCGTAGCAAAATGTCAAAGCCTTATAGCAAAGGGCTTCTCTAAATGGCCCAAATGAAGTCTTTGACAACTTCCACTACTCCACTCTACTGCCCTATCAATAGCATATTTGCTAACATACTTCGAAGTGAATTTACCGCGGTACCTTAAAGTGGAAGGGGGTTTAGGTAACGGTAAACAGTCTACTTCGTATCTTGGTAAAGTCGTAAAAAATAAGACGAGAAATAATTTGTAATACTTCCTCGCAGGCGAAATAAAAGTTGAATTCACGGGGGCTGCTCAGATAAGCACTTCGAAGTACAGTGTAAAACCCCCCGAAAACTCGGCCTTTGTCACGGCAGGGACGAAGTGACACCCATATCCTCTAGGCGCCCTCCTAACTCGTCGCATATGCAAGTCTTATATCTCGGATTTGAAATTTCGATACTCACTTTTGGTCTTGGTCCTTGCGGTTGTTTCAACGTCTATCCAAAGTCGTATGATCATACCGTGGTAAATCGTCCTTAGAGGAAATACCGGGGTGTGAGGGTGAAGTACGGAATAGTACAAAACAGTGTGATCTGGAGGCTTCTACTTGTACTTGCTAGAAGTCCTTCTTCTTATGCGTAGAAGATTGCGATGAGCCATCTAGTGCCGTTTCTCTTTAGGGGTCCGCAGAAAGCTGTTGTCTAAGTGGTCCGAGATTGTAGTCTTGGACCGTCTTGCCAGCTTCTGTTACTCCACCCTCACACCCCGGCATTTCCTGTAAGGACGATTTACTACGGTATACGTACCCCACAAGTCTTTGGTTGTTAGATACGTATTTGAATTGAGATTACAAATAATAATTGGAAGTGAGGTCGTAGTGCGATGCAACGTCGATGATTTATTCGTATATAAATTTCTGTCCCTTCAAACTACGAAAAAATGGTGTACTCTAAAGTGGATACAGTATAAGTGGGTATAAGTGGATGCGATAACTAGGTTAAATTTAGGCTTAAATACTCGGAAACCTAGCCTGGTTGCCCAGACGAGTTTGCTCTACACGGCAGATGTTATAAAGTGGATACCTTGGACTCTACCTACTTTCGAGTGTATGCTGTTTTGTAGTAATATACTGCTTACTCTAGAAGGAATACTAGTTAGCCTTAGAATATATATAAATGAATCTTTATAAGTGAAATATATGAATCCTTATAGTGAAACTTATGATTGACTAATTAGATAATTGATCTTTTACGAATTAACTTCTTACTTTTTAGATTCTTAGGTAAGGAGCTGTATTATAATAACTAACAATTAAATTTACTATTCTATCGTAAATCTGTTTATTAATATTTAATTAATTAATTCTATAAAGGAATCAAGTGTTTCCGACCGTTAGTTGTTATAGAATCAATTATTTAAGTAAATTTATCCAGGTCGTTACAACTAACCACTTTAGTAGTTAGCCCTTGTTAATCAAAGTAATCAATTTAATTCGGAATTTATTAATTATTTAAACAGTTAATTATAAATCTCACTATAAATAAAAACATATTTTACTATAAAGATTCAATTTATATATACTCTAAGGCTCACTAGTACCCAAAAATAGCGAAACTTTTCGAAAAAGTACCACAAAATAGACAGTAAAACGTATATGTAAGCATTGTAGTTCAGAAGGATTTAGACGGTGCTAGCGATAGCCCTTAGCAATTAATCTAGGAACGTCTTAGGCAGTGCCACTATGGATAGCAAGTCTAGAAATACCCGCATTTCGTGCCTTCCTTCTTTACCTGTCTGCCTACCTACTATCATACTAGCATTCCTAATACACTTGTTCTAGAATAAAGTTAATCTAAAAGCCTCGTACAACTAAATTAATCAAATAAATTGGTTTGATAATTACTAATTTCTACTTTTTATAAACCTAGGTATCCTAAGACAATTAACTTACTTGTGTTAGATGTTTAGCATAATAGATTTCAGTAGTGTGTATAGAGGATAGGCCTGTGTCGGGGTATTACTTGGTCTTCAGTCGAGTTTCACGAGCATTAGGAAATTATCAGAGGTTTCAATGTATTATTCTTCTGCGAAAATCTACCCTCCTCCCCCCCCCTGCCGAAATCGCTGAAGCAAGCAATGACAGCGAAAAGCTATCAAGCCATTTCCGCCTCAATCAAACTTTCAAATCCACGATCAATCTCGTAGATTTCTGCAATCTTGAGTCCCGCAACAACAAGTAGCGCTTCCCATTGACCCGCAGTTCTCTCTTTCCGAGAATTGAGAGCCATCATTGCCATATCGGTGCGAGTAGCACGGAAATTGGCACCGGAACTGGGAATAACCCATTCCTGAAGTAACAAACGCGACCAACCTCGCTTCATGGACTTGCGAATGTTGACCAAGATCTTCGTGCACTCGTCATCATCGTAATCGCGAAGCACGGCATGTATATAGTAGGCTCTTGCACCTGTTGAAAACTGTTAATGGTGATCTCAAAACGGTGGAAAAGGGTACACTGACCTTTGACCGGATTAACGTCAAAGAAATCGTGCCCTTGGAACTCAAACAAGCTATTGATCTTGTAGTGCTTGCGTCTCAAGGCATCACAATCAATCTTCTCGACTACTGCAGGTAAATCTTGCAAGACGAATCGGATTCTTCCAGCCGGGATTTCGATTGCTTTGCCCTTGCTCTCTATCCACCATGCATCCAAATAATCCATAAATCGGAACATATCACTGCCGATACTTCCACCAATACCTACCAACAAAACATCACTGTCCTTTGTAGGACGAGGTTGTATGTGCATGTACGCCGCCAGACCGCTAATCAAACGTTCCTTGATGGGGTATACGTCAAACCATGTTCGAGGGTTGGTGTATCGCGAATCCATCATCGCCTGGAAGTTCGCTAGATGCTGTGGGTGATTTGAAAGCCATGGAAACATCTTTAGGTGGGTTTTATGGGCAAATTGGAAAGAATTGATCGGAGTGTTTGGGTCGGATGCGTATCCCGTCATAGCAAGGTAGCTGGGAAGAGCTTGGAAAATAGGATTGACAACCTCGTAACTGTTGGAGCATGGTCAGTCTCTGTATTTTGGATGACATCAATCACTTACGAAAAGTTAATGGTTGCTTTATTCGCCTGATCCGCGAGCGCCACTGAAACTGGCGTCGATTTGTAAATGTCTTCACCAACTTCGTCGACAACACTGGTAGTAGCTAGATGTTTCAAGATGCGAGCTGTAGAAAAGATAGAAGTCAGTTAAACTTGAGCCACAGCTCTCAAGCGTAAGTACTTACCAACCAGGAGTTTGTCGGCTTCGCATTTTTCTGCCAAAGCGGCCGCAGTGATAGGATTCTCCCCCAGCATCTCGAATAAGCCTAGATCAATGCCAATCTTTACAGCGGTGTATCTTGTTGGCTACAGAATCATTCAGTATGTTAGTCTCATCAATTTGATGGAAGGAAGCATACCTCTGCTCGAAGCTTTTGTATGAAGTCATCCGGGGACTCCAGAACCGTCTCCATCTTGTAGCATAGCTCCAAGAGCTCCTCCTTGATCCCTGGCTGGTTGTGCGCGCTGGTGGAGACAATGCTGCGAAACGTGTCGATGATTTCAATCGCCTCTTCGGGGATCTCGTCGCGGTTCGACATTGTGGCAGGCTGCTTCGCTGAAGTTGGGGGTGGTGGTGGAGCCTTGGAGGGGTTGTATGGGATTTGGAGGAGGCTTGGGTTCTCTTGCTCCAATTTTACCTTCTCCAAGGAGCTCATTAATATTGACAACTCGTAAGGATGCATATTCACTGCTGTGGCACAAACAATAAGTACTGCTGAGCTGCCTGAAGGTTGAGGGTGCGAGGGTACGAGAGATGTTGTGGTTGTTGTGAAGGGAAGAAGGGCTGGTAGCAGGGTTGTAGTTGCGTCAATGACTATACTGCCAAAGAAAATTTGCAAATGGCCTTCTCCACTTTACTAGGTACTATGGAGACCCAGGCAGTAGTTAAAGAGAGGTGTTCAAGAGACACTAGAACAATGTAGCAACAGTGCAGTGAGCCTGCAGCAAATTGGGGGAAATTGAGAACCCTTTACTTGATTATTTTTCTATATTACATTTTTACAAAAAGATTTAGCTATATAATTGAATAGCTAAAGAGTGAACTCAAAAGGTTTTGTGGTTGGCTCTTGTGCAGTAGACTGGTTTCTCGCTTAGCGATGCCCCCTAAACAAGGTCTGGGCAAGTCCAACCGGTTTCCGCGTTTCGCGAACAGCACAACAAACAAAGAGACCTGCTAGAAGGACTGCATCACACCATCGCCTCAACAAAAAAAGATTCAAAAGTGACTTGTAACAATACATCTCTCAAAAGCGTACAAATAAAAAGAATCCAAAAAAAAAAAAGATAAGTAGCCGGACGAGGACTCGAACCTCGATCATCCCTAGGCTGGCGTCTACAGGGTACCCAAGACCCCTGCCAAAACCGGCCAAAATGCCAGCTTCGGGAGCTTTACCATTAAGCTATCCAGCCTGTATTGCTTGATTTGATGGGAAGAACAGGCTTGTTTGACAATATAAAGTTGTGTTGTAAGTCCTTTACAGGAGCCAGTAGGCAATTTCAGCGTGGGTCGGCACAGCAAAAAAAGTGGAGTTGGTCAACATATCCAAAGTAGCCCCTTGTAATCTCTCAGATATGTTTTCTTGCAAGACGCAGCGTCGCATATCAAAGCTCCCCATCGTACCACCACACCTTAGTTTGTCAATATGGAAGTCTCATTCTTTGTGCCAGGTAGGTATAAACTGCTTTCTTTCTCTATACTGTCAATATACGATTAACTGAGTGTTTGGCTTTCTCAGATACAAGCTTTGAATACAGGATGAGAGGACTAACGTATACGGGCAGTTCATCCTACCAACCACCTCGCTCTTTCCAGACTACACTTGCGCACAAAGATAATCGCCCTCATTATCAGAATCTCACGATCTCCGAGTTCCCTTCGCGAGCTACGAGCTGCGAATACCTCTCACTTACCGCTTCCTGATCCACCTTCAACTACAGACCACATTCAAAATAATTTTCTGCGCCGCTCGACTTTCATCACATATATCTACGAAGGCTTAATTCTTACCATGGCGATAGAAAGGAGTGATCCAAGCTTGATCAGTGAGGTCTTTCAAGCCGACCGCGTCCAAGGCCGATATACTGTACAGAAGTCTTTTATGGAGAACCCCGGAGGCTTCCCCACCTAAACAACCTACTGTCGCTCAAGATCAGAGCCCTCTTTTCCTCTGGAACTCACATGCTCTAGGCATATACCAGAAGATAACTAATCTGAATCTGAATCATCAACTGCTAGGTACACAGAATCAAAAAAACGCTCTTCGGGTGGTTCAGGTGAGCGGAACGTGGCGTATTGGTCACGTCACAAAGTCACTGCGCGATATCGAGAATTCTGAAAGCGAATGCGCCTTATAAGTAGCAATATTGTTTCCAGGTCTAAACTTCTTTATCTTCTGAGTTGGCGGGAAGATCCACGAATTTTACCTATTGAGTTCCCTTGAAAAATGAGGAATTGGAAAATGTGGCGAAGTGGCATTCGTTCTATTTTTGATTGTCCCCATGCCAACCCTTCAAAGCTTCTTGGTACAGCCTCCTTGTATCAACTAGTAAGATACAAACCAAATATCTCAATAGTCCCAAGGGCGCTTGTACGGTCCATGACGTTCACCTGTAAATTATACAATTGTGGCATGAACGATGGTGAAAAACACATAGATTTAACCTCCCACTCCTGTTACCCAACCAGTCTTAAATCCCAACAATCCCAGCCAGCGCCACCATCACTCAGATGACTCATCTACATCTATCTAATTCTGTAAGAAATGAGTCGTTTTAGGAATTTTCCTCCATGTATTCCACATGAAGCACTTCTGAAATAATTATCAAACATATCGATGATTGTCTCCAAGAGAAGACATTCATCTCCTCCTCTTCACTTGACTTACACTATTCCCGCCAGAAACTCCTTCCATTTATCCTATCAAGTTTCAAATACGAACGATCAAACAACTAACCGTCTAATCGATCAATCCCCATTTCATCATACAACAGACCAACAAGAATGACATCTCTAATTCCCATCAATCCAATAACACAATCCAAAAAGTCAACAAAAGTTCTCCGCCCTCTACCCTCCTCCCTCTTTCAATCCAGCCTACTTCCGCCCTCAAATCTCTATCCCGCAACAACTGATTCTACTTCCCTCCATTACCCCTTTCCCACCCTTTCTTACTGGACGAGGTGAATCACGTGATATATCACCTATCCCATCTGATTCATTTCTTATTTTCTACCTTATTATCATATAACTTCTTAATACCCAGCAGTACTTCAAAATTTTCCGGTCTATCATATTTATTTGCCATATTGTAAGTACTCGCTCTACTAGCTCTTGCTGACAAGCTAGCACGACACACAACTTTTTCGAGGAAAGATTTTCTTCGAATTCCATCAATCCCGCTCAACCAAACGATAGCAGCTAGAATTTCAACCACTCCCCTCTCCTCCCAGGAAGCCTGCCCCTCTGGTGGCAGAGATATATCCGTCAAAAGATCACGTGAAAAATTTTCACCCCCTCTTTCTGACCTCTCACATACTATACCGAGGGAAAACCACTCAAAAACACAATTACCACCCTTACCAACTCAGTCAACAACCTAGAGAACATCGCAAGGCGCTTTTTTAAAAGAAGCTACGCATCGGTAACCACAAACAACAAACCTACCACAGACACAGACACAGACAACAGTACTCAAGGCCTCATAGACCGGCAACTC